ATGTGTGGCAGTGAGGGATAGCAGTGTCCTGCAGGTCTGTCACTTTGGGGCCAGCAGTCCCTGCCATGAGCCAAAGCTGCTCACCAGCTGTTTGTGGTGGAGTCACAGCTTCCGTCTTTCCCAGGGGCCTGGAGGCTCTTGGATCCTGTTCAGTGTTTCTCCGTGATGAAAATCAAAATCAATCCGCCTTGTTCTTCCCGAGAGCGCGTGTGCAATCAGGGTAATTGAACGGGAGCAGCATCCCCAGGCTGCCACCGTCTCAGCCCTTGCCTACTCAGCTGATTGCACCTGACCTCGACTTGGAGATCATCCCTGAGGGCTGGGGAAGCTGCAGTGCATCACCAGCCATTACATCTGTCCTTCTGGAAGATGGAAAATGTTTATTTGCATCGTATTTCCCGACTCCATTGATCTTTGGGGAGAGTTGATTTTGGGGGGGAATTTGTGCATCCTGGCTGGATTACAAAGCAGTGCTGCTCACTGCCCTGCTTCCCTGCAGGATGATGGGGCTGTGTTGGCTGGAGGGTAGTTGGTAACACCGTGGCACTTCCAGTTTTTACTGTATGATCCCAGGAGGAGGTTCCACGACCTCTAAGGAAACTGCCTCTCAAAGGCTCCAGGTACACAAGACTACTTCCCTTGTTCTCCTCCTTTGTCTTTTCCTCCTTTGTTTTAGCACTGAGCCACACAAAGCAAACAGGTTTCAGGTAAAACCTGAGCTGGTTTCTGTTTTTGTCTGGTTGTTGACACCAGTCCATCCTCCAGCAGACTTAGCTTTCACATTTGTGGGCTCCATGCCTGTGTGGAGTCTGGTGAGCTCATTCTTCCAATGCAAAGAGAACTGGAGCAGAGCGTGGCTTTTATAAGCAACCAGTGCATTTGTATTGAAATCAGGCAATTAAGAATTGAGCTATTCTGCTCTAAAGCAGGGAATTGAGTTCTGTCAGTGCAAGCAGACCCCTTGAGAGTAGTCTGATTTTTCCTATTAATTTTGGCTTGCTCGTTTATCCTCTCCCTCTCCAATCTGTTGGAGACGAGTCATTGCATGTCAGATCTTTGGTGTGGCCCAGCACAGTTTATATTGTGTGGGTTGGAAAAGACCTTTAAAATCATGGAGTTCAACCATTAATCCAGCACTGCTAAGCCACCACATCCCCCACTACCACATCTACAAGTCTTTTAAATACCCCCAGGGAGGTGACGGTACCACCTCCGTGAGCAGCCTGTTCCAATGCTTGGCCACCCTTTGACTAAATGAATTTTTCCTAATATCCAACATAAACCTGCCCTGGCACAGCCTGAGGCCATCTCCTCTTGTTCTGTCACTTGTTACCTGGGAGAAGAGACTCTGTAGCTCCTGCATGGCTGCCACCTCCTTTCAGGCAGATGTGGAGTCACCCCCCTGAGCCTCCTTTTCTTCAGGCCAAAAAAACCCAGCTCTCTCATCTGCTTCTCATGAGACTTGTGCTCCAGACCTTCCACTAACTTTGTCCTTTGTTCTGCCCTCCCTGGTTATCCCAAGTGTCTCGTTTCTGTGGAGGTTTCCTGTGGTTATGGGATGTATGGCAGTGGTGTGACTGACCCCTCCTCAGCACGCTGCTGGGCAGGGCCTGCAGCCCAGGGAACTGTGGTACCGTGTTTATTTCTTAATCCACAGCAACACTATTACAGGCACAGCAGTGCTGCTGAATTAACATTTGTCCAGCTGAGAACAGTTTGGCTTTCAATAAATAGCAGCCTTTTTATTTGTCATAATTTGTGTGTGTAGAACAGGGAGCACCATTACTCACCATGGCAGGATGTGTAAGGATGGTGGAGCTGCAGCAGGGGAGAGCAACCCAAATGTAGCTGAAGGGAAGGATGTGGACCTGTAACAGGGCTGGGATTTTATTTTAGGGTGAAGGTGAACTGACCAGGAGGTGGCTCTGCAAACAGTCAGGTCCAGCCTCTTACCCCTCAGTGCCTGCATTCAGAATCATGCTGAGCCAGTGGAGAAATGTGGGAGAACGTGGCCAGCACCCAACCAGAGCAGCCTGCAGCCAGACTGGCTTGCACTGCCTAGGAAATCCCACCTCAGGCTTCCAGCTTTTCACAGAACTGTTTGACCGTGTCCTTTGCATGTCTGCGTGTGGTCTACATCTACACCACTCACCTCCAGCTCCTTCTGGGGACTTGTTCTTCCCTAAAAATTTCAAGCAATTATAAAAAGAGATTTAGAGCTAAATGCATGTACAGGACACTTTCCTTCCACCTCTCAGATTAATTCTCTATCTTGCCCTTTAGACGAACAGTACTTGTGTGGTAAGACCATGCTCTAGAGGATGAACTGGTTTGAACTTGAACTTCTCTTTCTTTTTGAATACATAATGAAGTCTTCAGTGGGCCAGGGAAAGCGAGTGATCAGAGCTTTGTCCTGGGGGGATGAGTTCAGGCAGAGTGCTTGACTTGCAGCCCATATGGCTGCCTTCACTGCTGGGCTCATAGATTCTCTGAGAACAGACCACATGCCTCCCTGAGCTCCCTCTTCTTTCCCCTTCCAGCTAAAACTGAAGTGTCTTGGTGAAAATGCCACAAAGCCTCATCATTTCTCAGTGAAACAGGGCACTGCTTCTGGACAGACATGTAGTTAAAGCTGTGGTTCCTCTCTTTGTCATGCAATTTGAGCAGTAGGAAATAGTGAGGCTTGCACATTTGGTGTAGTGGTAACTATGGGTTTAGCTGTGTTTTGCAATAATGGACGAGATGGTGTTTTATGACTGCTGTATTCTTGCCTTTGAAGGAAGAGGAGCTAATTGGAGACTTCCTTTCCTCACGGTTGAAAAGGTCCAGATTTCCAGAGCACTTGCATCACAATTATGTCCTCTCTGTGCTCTGTCAGAAGCCCTCTGTGGGTCCAGACAGCTGCTGAGCAGCCCCTTCCCCTGGCTAGTGGAAACAACACACTCTGTATTGTGTCTCAGTGATTATCCCAGAGCCAGTGCAGACTCCTGGAAGCAGAGCTCCATGTGCTGTGGGGAATGCAGCATTGGAGAGTTCCCTCTGCCAGCCACAGAGATGCCTGTGTGCACAGGCACAGGGCTAGGGCTGACTTCAGATTATATCTTTTCTGGTTTTAGACTAAATTGCCAGTTTCTCTCAGCAAGGAGCCTGCTTAATGACTCAGCTCATCCCTGTTTGCTCCCTGGGGAGTCAAACACCTTGGTGGGCAATAGAACATTTGGTGAGGCATCTAATGGGCTGCCTTTTGAGCCAGTCCCCACAACAGCACTAGCAGAATCCACAGAGCACTTCTGAGCTTTAGCATCCTGGCACGGAGCACAGCATCAGCCCTTTCCTCGGGGGTCCCACAAAGACACAGCTGCCTTCCCGTTCCTTTCAGGCTCATGCTCCTGCATGGTGCTTACCCCTGTGGCAGCTATGCATTGTAGCCCAGCCACCCTGCTTCTGGCAAGCCAGACTTCAAAGCCCTCAGAAATGATGGGGGAAACAAAAATAGCCATTCCTCCATGCTGTTGGTTTTCTGGGATGTCTACTAGCAAGTCAACCACACACAAAAGCACGGGCAAGTTCAAGGCCTTGCCATGCAGTTTAATCTTTCCTGCTTGTGGGAAGTTTCGAGTTCACCCAGGTGAGGGGCACAAACTGCTGTGGGAAATGGAGGTAGGGAGAAGATAAGGCTGGGATGGATGTAGAGCAGAAGGTAGAAGGGTTCAATGCTGCTTCTTCCTTATACAATAAGCAACCTCTGCTGCTGGTGGCCACACGTCTTAGGCCTGCTCCCATGCCATGGGTAAATCTCTTGCTGCAAATCCCCAAAGTCCTGGGATAGGTGGGGATGGCTGTAGGAAAGCATCTCTCCAGGAATTTGCCTGCTGAGGCTGCCTTCCCCCACATCAGCAGTGCTACGGCAGCATGATCTGCCCACCAGCCTGGAACAGTGATGTTGCATTGCATCTTTTCCTGACAGGGAAACTTTTTAGAGGGGTTTGATCATTGTGGAGCCATTTCAGAAAGCTGACAGCATTTGCTAATGCTGGGCTCATGAAAGCATGCAAGTCATGAGTCACATTGTGAGCTGGTCTCCTTTTTGTGCAGCATGTCACCTCAGCTGGGGAAAGGAATGGCAGGGCCTGTTCAGGGAAGGGCTGCTGTATTTTTTTTTTACCAGGACTTTTTTTCCTTCCTTTTATCTCTTTGTTTTCTTACATGTGTGATGACTTGCCTATTTCAGGCTGATTGTTCTTTCAAAACAGAGCCTTACCTTGATGGAGAGTGCCAAGGGTAATTCATGGGGGATGGTGAGGCTGTTCCTTCCTGAGCACTCAGATATCTGCACTCACTGCAGGCCAGTAGCAGACACAGCTGGGAGAATGGTTCATATTTCTGTGTGCAAAGCCAGGCTCTGAAGTGCTTCCCCCTTCACTGCCCAAGCAAGACTCTCAAGGAAAATTCTCCCTGAATCAAAAATGTCAGCCAGGCCTATGGGATTTTGCAGACAGAGATTAAGCTCTCTTTCTATATCTTCCTCACCAGAGTGAAGAAAAGCAGCCCAGGCTGACCTGTATCAAACCTGAATGGAAACACAAAAGGCTTAGAGTGTAAAATGCTCCCAGACCCACTGCTGATCTGAAGTGTAGACCCTGTTCCACTTTGCTTGGAGACCTGTGTGTCTCTGCCCTGCTGTGCCCCAGGAAAGTGCATGATTGCACTGCCAAGCTCAGACCTCTCTCTGAAAGGTGTCAGTAGCATTAGAGAAACCCAAATGAAAACTCAAGGAGCACCCAGCCCCAAATCCCCATCCCTAAGAATATCTGAGCAGATTAAAGAAGAGATGACTGAGTATCTCCTCTGGTTTTGTTGGTGGCAGGCAGCAAAACATCAGGGCTCAAGAAAAGCAGTTTTCAGACCTGGAAAAGGTAGGCAAGGTCTTCAAAGGGCAGGAACACACTGCTGGCAAAGGCTGGCTATTCACATTGTTCTTTGCATTTTCTTTCCTCCAGGAACTTCAGAGAAATCCTTATTTGATCATGGATGGAGTTAGCAGATTTGACATCATGCAAGGAGAAATAGGTAAGGTGATATTCTCGATTTGGAGGAGATCTGCACAAAGCAATGACGACTCTTTGCCATGTTCCAAGTGCTCGGTGGGAAGATGTGGACAATGGTAGCTGCAGTAAACAATCAGTGCAGGTCAGTCTAGACTGGCATAAGGCCACACACAACTGATTGCAGATATTTAACAGGATTCCCAAATGCAGCAGCTCAAATCTTACTTTTGTCTGGCATCTGCCTTCTGTCTGTGTAAGGCCAAGCTTAGAAACGAAGATCCAGCTGAGATCAGGCAGATGCTTCAGGAAGAAGGGTCAAACACAGTTAAGTGTGAGTAGATAAATAAGCACAGATCTGACTTCTGTAGGACTGAATTTTCTTTCCTTCCTAATGTCTTCATTTGACTGCCAGTGTTTTCTTCCTGTGGATATTTCTTTTTAGCTCCTCCCAGTATCAGAGCATGAATCTGCACCCTGTGGCAGTTCCATCTTGTGCTCTGTGACCATGTTTATCTTTGGGAGCAGGTCTACTCCCATGTAGTAAGAAATGCCTTCCCATTTCTCACTCCACTGAGAAGTTTGAAGGTTTCCTGAAGAGTGTTCTGGACTGCAAGTCTCAACATGACTGCAAAAGATAGGAGCAGCCTGAAAGTAGAAAAGGGTGGCTGGTGACAGCTGGGTTCCCAGTGGACATGGTGGTGAATCCTGGGCAGTGCTTCAGCATTTTGGAGCGGGGAAAGGAGACAGAAGAATGTTGGCTGCTTTTAGCAAAGTGGTTCTTAGATGTTGCTTTCTGAAGAGTCAGCTGTGATCCAGAACAGCAAGTAACTGACTGGATGCACTGGATTCTTCCCTCCTCTGAGGTGACTGCTGGATGCTGGCTGCCCTGGGCTCCCTGACACTGCGAAAACAATTTTTGGAAAATGTTTTACCCAAGGACCAAGGATTCCAGGAAGATTATGCTGGGATTTTTCATTTCCGGGTATGTATCCCCTGTGGTGTTGGTACCACTTGAGCTTGGCTGGTTGGATTGCAAAGGGGTCCAAGCTGCAGCACCACATCTCAACACCCTTGGATGCTTTGGTTCTTCAATGCTGACTCCCAGTTCAGAACTTTGCAGAAAATCCTGAATTTTTTAATGATTCCTTGTGCTCCAGGTGGTGCAATTGCACTTCAGGGAATTTGATGCCCTTTTCTTAAAGCTATGACTGCAAAGGCAGCGGTACCAGCTGTTCAGGTAGATTTGTGTACATATGTGTTTTAGATGGCATTCTGGTGGCTGCTTTGATTTGGGCAGTCTGTTATGGCTGTCATCTCACCTGCACTATCTATTTGGGCTCATTTTCTCCCTCCCCACTTCACCTTGCCCTTTTAGCTCGTTGAAACGGCTGGAAATTACAAATCCTTGGAGACAGATCAGAGGAACAGGCTTTTGATATTTTGAAAAGAGATTTGTTTCAGAGAGAGGAACAAGGCTTTTTAGTAAATCCCGCTTTCTACCAACTCCTAAAATTGTCTGAATCTCCCAAGAGGGTGACTCGGGTAGCAACTGGCAGGCTCTGCTTGCTTGTGTCTGAGTCAAACAAATATCTGGTGGGATTAGAAGAGTTTGCAGCACCATTAAACTCCAGAAGCTAAACTGGATGTGGAGAAAATCTGGATAAACTCAGCCATTCCTCATCTCCCCCTAGTTCACAAATCTCTTCTTTTTTATGCAGTTCAGCACAAAACAAAGAGCTCTGGTAGTGGGACTTCTTTGACCTCCTAGGCTCTTGTGGAGCAGCACCAGGAGGATTATCTTGTGGACAGTCTAAATTTTGCCCTCTTCCTTTGCTCCTTAGAATACCAGATGTTTCTATCTTGGCCCATTTCCAGCATACACTGCCACACTGTGTGAGATAAACCAGCTGAAGGGACACCAGTCTGCTTAAAACACATTAAAAGGATGCAAGCTAGATTGTCTTTCATGGGAGCTTTGAAAAGATTAGTTAGGCGCAATCCTTAAATCTTAAGCAGTATAAATACCTTACAGTATTTGAAAATGTTTTCCCTGTCATCTCATCTGCAAATCAATGCAACTGTTTCTGGCTTTCCTTGAGCAATAAACCCCTGAGAAAGCTCCTCTGAATGGAAATGCTTCTCTGCAATGCCTTTCAATTATTCCATCAAAGATATTTTACTGCCATCCACAGGCTAAGCAACCAGTCCTCAGTTCAGTGAGGAATCGCAAACAAGGCATGTCATATGCTAATAGAAAAATTTTAGCTTATAACTTTTTTCCCACCATTTTGGAACTGGAGCATCTTGCCTCTCAGGAGCACAAGGGGCTGCTCCAGTGTTCCTGTACAGCAGGAGCTGTTCAGCTGCAAGAGTCAAGGGTGTTAAGCACTTCATCAGCTGTAGTTAAGATGGGCAATGTTTTTGTCTCGGGAATAATTACAGTGATGTTATTTCCCCTGGGATTAAGCTAGTCCCATGTTTGTATAGGAATCCCTTTCTCTGCCACAGAAGCTGTGGTGCCTGTGAGGCAGTGTGTCACTGCTTGTGACAGTGAGGAGCAGCACCTCAACTTGGGAAAAAGCAAAAATGTTCTCCAGGGGACTACGGGGCGTTATTGCACAGGGCATCAACTCACAGCTGGAGGAATCTGCCCTGGGTGTTAATGTCCCTGCTCTCAGGAAGAAACAGATGAACTCTTTAAAGACCATAAATGATCAAGTTTCAGGAAACATCCAAAAAATGCTTTTTAACATGATACAAAATGTTGGTGTTAGTTGATAGACATGCGATTTTCTCCTTACGTAATTTCAGAACTGGATTTTTCTAAGATGCCTGTCCAGGAAGGAAAAAACAAGGCAAAACAACCACACAGTATTCCCCCTTTGACCATCAGGGCCCTAGATGTGTTGTTATCATCTTGGGACTGTCCATTTCTTTTTCTTCTCTTAAGCCCAGGAAAATAAAGTCCTGATTTAAAAGGCTTATTCTAAATGTGGAAGCAAAGAACTTCCCTCTTTGCATCCTGCCTAAATAGCAGTTCTGGGTTTTATTTACTACCACATTCACACCTGCAGTATTTAAATCCCATAAAGGGATATAAATAAATTTCATTAAGCCAGACTCAAGCCAAAAAGTGAACCCTTCTGAAAGCAGGGGAATGGCTTCTCCTGTGTCACTCTTGTACTTCTGGAGCATTCTAGGATTTCACATGAGGTTTCTTTTTCCCACTCTGGCTTTTCCTGTCCTTGTGAGCTCAGATGAGACCACCATCTGAAAGTCTGTGACAGTCAGGACAAAGCAGCTGTCTTTATCCAGCTGAAGAAAAACACAGTGCTGCTTTCAGACAGCCTCAATGCTTGAGCTCCCTACCAAACACGCCCAAGGAGCTTGACTTTTGGAGAAACATCACTCAGTGGGTTTGGACTGCATGAATTCCCACAGCAAGTCCTGTATGTTCTCCTTATTTACCTGTTGTGATAGCACATGAAGCACTGGGGGGAGGCGTGGCTGGACGTCACACCTCTTCTCCATTCAGACCTGCTCCTGGGTGTTGGCTGGTGGCAGAAGGGCTCCTTAGGTGACTGAAAGGACACCTTCTTTAGGACAGTCCTTTTCCCTGTCTCTCCTTCAGGCAGAGGACAGCCAGTGGAAGGTTTTTCCTCGAGCCAAAATCAAGCAGAATCTCTCCTGGACTCCTGGAGCTCAAGTTAGAGGTTCCAACCCTGCTGCCTCCTGCCACCACCAGTGTAGGAAGGGAGAGGCTTGGGTGAGGCAGAAATGTGAGTAGGATCAGACCTGCTTTCAGCTGAGCAGTCTGTAAGCTGCTTTGCTGCTGGGCAGATCTGGTCTTGTGCTTTTCTAGCAGAGCAGCTCATTTTGGGGTTTTTCATTGACCGAAGCTGTTGAAATAAAATCGTGCTAGACTAAATCTATTGCTGGCATACTTCCACTAGAGTCCTTAGCATTACTGCAAATAAGAGCTTGGCCTCTTATGATTTCGAATGATGCTAAGCTACATTAATCTGCTAATGACTCTGGAAATGGCTCCTTTAGTTCATCCCCGCAGATCTCTATTCCTGTCTTTTCCCTTGAAAAGTTTCATCAGCTGGATCAGCTGGAGAAACACCTGCTCTGTCCACATGCTGGAGAGACTGCCTGTGTCCTTCTCATCCATCAAGGAGATGGATAACACCTCAAAACAGCCTTTAGTCACTACACTGTCTCCATCCATGACAGCGTGTCAGAGTCTTAATTGAAACACAGAGGAAAGGAAATTTAGAGGCTGGATCGTGACAAAGCCTCTCTGGCCAAGAGCTGCGCTGTGGGGAAAAATCCAAGTGTGGCTGAGGAGTGAGGCTCATGGAATGCTGATTATTCTTCATCTTCTTGAAATCTTGCTATTGCCCATGAATATTAGCATGCTCCCCACCTCTCCTCCCACTGATTGCAGGACTGGCTATACTCCCCAAGGACTTTCCCTGCCACTGGGAAATCCAGCCAGTTGGTGGCTTGTTTAACAATGGGGACCATTAGCCTGAGGCAGTTCAGGAGAGAACTTGCACATATTCATGCTTTAGATTAATTCCTGTGCTAATTCAGGAGGATTTTTCTTTCTGTGGACATTAGTGCTTAAAAGAGGCTCATTGTTTTATTTTCTCTGTCTCTTTTTAAAATATATTTTTATTTTATTTACTTCCAGTTCTGGCAATATGGAGAATGGGTGGATGTAGTGATAGATGACCGGCTGCCATTCCTAAATGGAAGATACCTCTCTGTACACCCCCGAACTTCAAATGAATTCTGGCCATCCTTGCTGGAAAAAGCATATGCCAAGTAAATACACCTGGTCTGTTCTTCCACCCAGTGCTGAATGCTTTCTGTGGGTGGTTTCACTCTCTGCCTTGTGCAAAGCACACAGGAAGGAGTTCAGGCTGACAGATGTCTATGTGGTTCTCTGCTTACGTTGGCTGCAGCAAACATGGGGCCAACATAAACTGGAGATGTTGGCCTTGGGTTAGACCTAGCTCTACCCAGCCCTAAAGGCAGCCTAAATCCACCCAGTTCAGCTCTGGGCTGTTAATGCCTAAGAAGCAAAACGAGCAGGGGTGACACAAAAGGGCCTGGAATGTCCTCCTGCTTTCAGGGAAACTTCTTTGTCTCTGTTTTCCTTTCTGTGCTGTCCTCTGTTTAAGACTGCAGAGTCCAAGCATGGATTATCTGTGTTTACAGTCACTAATCAGAGATCATGTGGGTGTTTGGAGCAGGCAATGAGAGGAAGCATGACTGAAGAACGTGCCCAGGCACAACACACACACTGCTAGGACTCTCTGATCAGCTCTCACTTCACAGGGAGCTCTGACTCTCAGCTGAGGTCCCCAGAGTGTGCAGGGTAAATAATGCCTAATAAAGAGATAACAATTTGTAAAAATCCTCTGGAGAGAGAAGGGATCAGATTGTGGTCCCTTAGCATTTGCCCATTTCTCGCTATTAAAAATGCTGAAAAAAAGTCCTGTGTTAGGGGTGGTATGAAGGGCTGGAACTTGGTACCTGAGGCTGCTGTAGCATTTGCACTGCAGTGAAGAGGAGATGAAGAAAAGAGATAATAATTTTGGCAGATTTGGTCAGGAATAAGCAAATGTTAAAGCAGCATGAGAGTGACTCAGGAAGAAGATGCATTTTGCCCTGAGATATCTCAGAAAAGTTGACTCAGGATTCAGTATCAATTTGCTGCATAAGATTTTAATTACAATGCATACCAAACCTCTATTAAATTAAAGTTGCAAGCAATGCTGTTTATGAGATTCCCATTGGAGAAGTTATTCCCCAATGCCCAAGACAAATTCTTTTCATCAGTGTAGGACAAGGACAACTCTTCAAAATACAATTAGCTGCAGACTTCATTTGATTACATTCATTAAATACAGTGTGTATGGTGGGGTTTAACAGCATGCTCTACCTGCTCTAAGTACAGCATGTTCCAGCTTATTTGCTGTCTCAATAAAAACCACACGATAAAAACAACAAGGACTGTGTTGGCAATATTAAATTATTATCCTATTATTGTGCTCTAGCAGAGTGAACTGGGAACAGTGCTGAGAACTCATTTCTGCCTTGCCCTGGAAGCATGGGTAAATACCTTCACCTCTCTTTTCCTTTTTCTCATTTGCAAAAGGAATATTGGCCATTTTTGTGAAGAGTCCTGTATAAGTAGGATGTAGAAACTAACAGTTCAGCTCCATTTGACCTGAAACATCCATTTGAACCAGTCATCCTTGGCTCCCTTCCTGCTCAGAAAAAAAGAAACTGAATGCTTCAAGATGAGATGCAGCTCATCTCCCAAAAATGCCTGTGCTGGCATGAGATGCACTTATTATTTTCCACTGTCTGTGAATGGCTCTGGACTGCTGCCTCACATGGGGATGAAGGTGTAGAAAAAGCTCTCCCTTTGTCTCTTTCCTTCCACAGGGCACATGTTGTGCCCGGCCAAGTATTTCAGTCACGTTTCCTTTCATTGACTGGCCACAATGTCTGCACACCCTGGGTTCCTCTGTGGTCACCACCTCGATGCACACGCTCATTTTTAAAGCAAGCACTGTGTATTGTTTATGAAAACAGTGTAAGAACTAATTAACTTCTCTCTCTTTTTTTTTCCCTTTTTTTTTTAAAATATATTTTAACATTTTTCCATAGGCTGCAGGGCTCCTACCAGAACTTGAATGGAGGCTACCTTTCAGATGCTTTAGTAGACTTCACAGGTGGAGTCCAAGTGCAGTTTTCATTGAAGGATCCACCTCCTGATCTGGAGGAGATCCTGAAAGCAGCTGACAAATCTCGGTGTCTCATGGGGTGCAGCACCTCAGTCCAGGTGAGTCACAGGGCTGGTCACAGGCCTCTCTTGGCTCACTGGGTTTGCACAAAGGCTGCTCTTTGGAGGGGAAAAGGAAACCCATGATCACTCTGTAAAATAGTTGCAGTTTATGGATGCCCCAAGGCATCTTGGCAGCAGAAAGGAGATAAGATTATTTGGTAAGGGTTGTAAAGGCATTTGGGCAGATGTAGATGGATTGCTCTGTCCCAGAGGGGGCTGTAGCTTCTCTCCTGGCCAATTCCACTGCAGTAGAGTGGTGTCCTCTTCCAGCAGGCCTGATTTTGGCCTCCTAACTTTGTGATCAACTCTGGCAAGGCCAAAACACACCTCTCTTCTGTGAAAGGATTCCATTCTCTCATTGTGCCTTGCAGGGTTACTGGTATTAATGCTGGGCAGTTGCAAAGGGCTTTGTGATATTCAGCAAGCACCTTTGATGAAATGTCTCCAGGGCTTCCCCTACAGCATGTGACATGTGACAGTGAAGGGTGTGACACTGCTCCTGTGGTGCCTGCTGCCTCAGGACAGGAAGCTTGGCTGCTGCAAACAAGCCAAGGACTGTTCTCTCAGCTCAGGTGGCTGACCTGGCTGTGAGGGGCAGGGAAATTCTGAATTCCCCAGTCTGACTGCAAGCCACCCAGTCCAGGTCGTTCCGCAGTTGCAGCACCGTGGAAGGACTTGCAAAGAAGTGTAGATCTGTACATCTACAGATCTACACTTTGCAATTTTGTTAAATTTCCTGGCTCACTTGTGGCTGCAGTGGGAACAGCCACATTCCTGTGGAGTATCTCTGAGGAGCTGCTGTGGTCAGGCTTTGTTTAGTGCCGTGACGATGACAGTCCTGGGAGCTGGTGGCTGTGTCTTTGTGTGTGGCAGGAGCTAAAAGCTGTGCTTTCTCCCTTCTGCAGTCAAGGAGGAACATAGAGCTGAGGAATGGCATTGTACAGGGCCATGCCTACACCGTCACAGGAGCTGTGAAGGTAAGGTCAGGGACTTGTTCCTGCCTGCACATCTTGTACTGATGATCCATACAGGGCAGCTGTGCTCTGCTCCAGTCAGAGTGATGTGAATTAGCTCCACACTCAGGGGGGATTGCTGAAAGCACATGGTTCAAATTCCAAGAGATGGAAGGACTCTGGCACAATTAAAAAAAAAGAGGGAGGATATCCCAATCCATGTTGTTTTCTAATGGAAAATGCAACTGAAGTTTACTTTTGTTTTGGGACACTTCAGCAGCGCATCCCAAATACAATGCAATACCAGTGTGTCAAATACAACATTTCTGGAGATTTTTGTTCCATGCTGACTCTTTAAAAATGTGCTTTTGTGTTTCAAATGCAAGTAGAAGCGCCGGCTGAAATTGTGGGATTTGTCATATGATGCAAATCTACATTTGTTCAGCTCAATCACAAGCTGCCAAAAATCACTGTGTGAAAAGCAAATCGCTGGTTCAAGAACAGCGTTTCTCCATCTTTTAAAGCTGTTGTCCTCATGCAGAACTGCTCCTGGCTGAATATTAATATTGATGATCTGAGAACCAATTTATCACATGGATCAAAAGAAATTAAGGATTTTTTACAGCCAGGAGTCAGAACATGGCTTAGCCCAGTAAGCTGTAGTGCACACAGGGAGAGTTAACAGTGAAGAAAGAAACCAAACAATAGCTATGCTGTCAAGCAAGATAGCTACAAAACCTTTGAATCTTGGAACCAAAAGTACCTTGGAAAGGGGATGTTGCTTTCCCTAAGCTACTTTCTTCCTTATCCTCCTCTCTGTGTTGGTTTTCTTGTGCCATGGCATGCTTGGTGCCATGATCACAGCCAGCATGCTGTTTTTTGGAGGCAAGGGGGTACAAAATGGAGAGAAGGGGGTTGCCAAGCTCCAGAGAAGGCCCCAGCTGTCTCTTCGCAGGGCAGGGGCAGAAGGGTGCCCGATTCTGCTGGAGGAGAAGCAGGCTGTTCCAGCCTCCTGCTGCTCCTGGTGTGTGAGACAGGAGAAAGAGCTTTTGCCCCACTTAATGAAGTGCCAAGACATCCAAGGGGTTGTCCTGGCAGGCTGGGCCTTTGCCTGGGAAGAGGCTGCCATGGTATTGTTTCCAACACTGTGTGCATAAGGAGAGCCAGAAAACAAAGGTTTGCTTCTCCTTTCCACTTCCACCATTTTGGCTTCACTGGCAAAAGTTAATTGTTTCTGGCTTAGATCAGTGGCAGCAAAAGGAGGAAAGCACCAGAAACCCCAGGTGCTGCAAACCACAGCAGTGTGGATGCAGCCCCACAGGTTCTGCTCATCACCCGCGCCCTGTGCTGACTGCTGGCTTTCACTCCAGGCACTCTGCTGACCTCATTCCTCAAAGTCCCTGCCTTTGCTGACTCACGGCATCAGATGTGCAGAATTAGGCTCTGGAATTTCCCAAGGCTGTTGGATTCATGCAGTGTGACGGGAATGCTGCTGCTTCTCTCTGTGTCAGCTATTCAGTATCCCCAGGAAGGCAAAATGGGCGCGGTTTTCTCTCACACATCGTTCCTTTGCAGTGTGGCAGAAGGCACTGATTTTTCACTGCTGGGAAAATGAGATCAGAGGTTAAATCTGGTCTCTAAGGTGTAGAGGAAGTTCCATATCACAATTGTGAAAAGCTGTGACTGAGTTTGTTTTTCTTTCCTCTTTACAGATCCCCTACAAGAATGGCTGGAAGCATATCATCAGGATCTGGAATCCGTGGGGCCATGGGGAGTGGAAGGGGCCCTGGAGTGATAAGTAGGGTCTTAAAGCTTTAATATAATAGTGGATCAGTCTTTTATAAGAACCTCTGTTCTGCACCCATTTTAACAAAACAGATATTTCCAAATCAGTTAATTATGAGCATTATTTCCATCTGCATAGCAACTGCCTGCAGAAATCCAGTCCAGGGGAAACTAATGCAGCCTTGCTAGGCTCAGGTGTCCCTTCTTGTCTGTGTGTATGCATTTTACCCAGTGCATAATTCTACAGAAGCCATGGATGAAAGAGCTCTTATTTCCTGGAGTAAGCTCTGACCGTGTCCTCAGATGCTGGCTGGCTGCTTCTGTTGAATTCTCCTGCAGAAATCACACATCCACCTTCCTTCTCTTTCTTCTGCTCCTGTGAGTCTGACTCTGGGAAGAGGATGGTTAGACAAGCCCGTGGAGCAGGGACAGAAAGGGACAAAAGAGACAGAGGGACAAAAAGGGTCCTTGGTTATTCCAAAGTGCCAGGGAATGGCTTGAACTAATCTTTTGGATCCTTCACGCAGCTTTGGGCATGAAAGGACCACTTTGCTGCCTGTGTGGATAATCTAACATCTCTTTCCTAAAGAAAGGAATGGCTTGAACTAATCTTTTGGATCCTTCATGCAGCTTTGGGCATGAAAGGACCACTTTGCTGCCTGTGTGGATAACACATCTCTGACATCTCTTTCCTAAAGAAAGTAATTATATAGGGTGCAACAGTGTTTTGTAAATAAATAGATCTTAGTTTTCCTTTTGGAATTGCATCGGTGTTTCCATGATTAGAGAGATGTTCTTGTGTCACTCTTGGGTTATTTAATAGTGTCCCACCCCTCCCTATTGCTAGGACCACACACAAGCACTCTGCTGAGAAAAGTCAGGCTGGAGTGCTGGATCTGGAAGGGTTGGTGGGTTGTGTGGATGTCTAGGGCTGGGATAACAGCTCTCTGCTCAGGCAGCATCCTCCCATCCTTTTGGAAGGGTGGACTACAATCCTAAGTGTAATTGAAATGTCAGCAGCACGTGCACAGGTAAGCTGCACAGATCAATAAATTATTGATTCACGTGCTGTTTATTTGTCTTAAACTCTGCAGAAAGTACAATTATCACTTAATTATAAACATGCTGCTTGGAAACAACACATTTGACTGGGTAATGTGCTCTCCACGTGTCAGTGGAATATCAGTGCTTCAGGGTGCTGTGGCTTGGTGCCTCACTAACCTCTCCAGCATGGGGACAGGTGACCAGGACAGCAGGGAGGATTCCCCAGCCCAGGCTGGGCAGCTCAGGCACAGCAAAGCACAGAGTTTCATTTGCTGGCCTTGGCTGTGAAGGTATCACCCACAGCCCTGTTTCCAATGTGCAGTTTGTTCACCCCTCCTGATCCCTCATGGCCTCACAGGCTGCTTAGAGAAATAGGCCAAAGATGAAAAATTGTGCCTCACATCTTTTTGATTTGTTCTTTTTTGCAGCTCTCCTCAGTGGGACCGTGTTGAGCCTAAATACAGAGAAGCCCTCCTCAGAAATAAGGATGATGGAGAATTCTGGTATTTCCCTATTGATCCTCTGTCTACTGGGTTTTCTATTTGCCTTCATTATTGGAAAAGTAATTTTGGCAGTTCTGTGTTCTTGGTGGTGGCTCAAGGCACCCTGCGTTAGCTGTGTGCAAGCAGCAAATTGGAGATTGTCCTGACCCTGTGGTTTCAGTGGAAACAAGACCTGAAAAAATGGAGTTGGCCAAGATTAAGTGACAGGCTGATGAAAAAAAAAAAAAAGAAAAGTGAGAGATGTAAAAACCCAGCCCTCTGAGACCTGGTCATTTTGTCACACCACCTCTCCTCAAAAAAAAAAAAGAAAAGTGAGAGAAGTAAAAACCCAGCGCTCTAAGACCTGGTCATTTTGTCACACCACCTCTCCTCATAAAGTGTGTAGTTTGAACCTTGGACTGACAGATGCTTGAAGAGGACAGCTGGCTAAGCAGGTCACTGAGCCTGTGCACTTGACTGCTCTGCAGGTGCTTGTGGTTTTTCACTGCCTCTGATTGCTCCCAGATACAGCTTAGCCATGCATGGGCTGTCCCTCAGAAAAACTGATTATTCAGAAAGTGCACACGTGCCCTGTGGGCTCTGAGGAAAGCAGGGCAACAGCAGGTGGGTCTGACACACACACGTGAGGATTGAGTGAAGCATGAGCATGGCACAGGACACTGTGGAGGTGCAAGGGCAAGGGACAGTGGCAGAGGTGTGCTGGAGATGGCTCCAGCAAGATACTCCTGAACATGGCCTGTGGTTTACCCTGGGCCATTAGGGGCTGTTAGGGCAGCCCAAAATGCATTGAGAGCTGAGCTCTTCTGCAGGTGCCTGCTGTGCTCTCAGCAATCTCCCTTTTTAAAGGCATGGGGTGAATGTGGATACCTAACTGGTGTCTTCACAGGACCACAGAGTGGGTCAGGCACCACAGCAGGTCACCTGGTCCAGCCTCCTGCCCAAGCAGGGACATCCCAGAGCATGTGGCACAGGATTGTGATAAGATGGTTGTGGAATATTCCAGTGAGGGAGACTGACTCCGCACCGTCCCTAGGCAACATGTTCCAGTGTGTGGTCAGTTGCACAGTAAAGAAATTCTTCCTCGTATTGAGGTGGAACTTTTCCTGTGGTTCAGTTTCTGCCCATTCCCTCTTGTCCTATTGCTTGGTTCAGCCTCTGCCACCCTTCCTTCAGATACTGACATGGATGAGGTTCCCTCTCAGGGCTGAACAGGCCCAGCTCCCTCAGCCTTTCCTCAGAAGGGAGAAGCTCCAGGCCCCTGATAATCTTTGTAGCCCTCCACTGGACCTGCTCCAGCAGCTCCAGGTCTGTCCTGTACTGAGGAGCCCAGAAGTGGACACAGCACTCCAGATGAGCCTCACCAGGGCTGAGCAGAGAGGCAGGATCACCTCCCTGACCTGCTGGCAATGTTCTTGTCTTAAACTGAACTATGACGTTTCCCTCCTTCTCTGCAGGATGTCCTGTAAGAACTTCCAGGAGCAGTTTTCATGGCTGTATATATGCAACAACACCCCAACATTCCTGGACTTTGGAGATGAGCACCGCACAACGGCGTGGTCTCTGAACAGCTACACCGGCCTGTGGAGGCCGGGCCTTCCCACCAGGAGGAGCCGCTATTCCCAGGGTAATGGATGCCCTCTGCACTCACCTGGTTGTCTCTTCCCTCCACTGATGTGAGACATCCACTCTGAGCTCCGAATTGCACAAGTATTGATTGCCAGGTGTTCATGCCTGCCTTTTCCCATTGCAACACTTATCAGCTAAAGAGGCAGAAACAAAGCAACAGCGCTGGTGCTGAGTTAAAACGGGACACTTGTGATTTAGGAACCCTGGACTCCTTAAGTCAAAATGGGCTTGTATATCTGCTTTCAGCCGGTTGCAGTAGGTGTTACTGGGCACCTCATCAGAAAGTCTGGTCTGGCAAATAGGCTGTTGATTTTAAAGAGCAAAAGGCACTCTGAAATGGAATGGATATGGAATGAAAAAATGGTGCTACAAAGCTCTATTTGTTAAGGTAAAAAGGTCCTTTTGAGCTGATAAGACCAGTGGTTTTACTGCCTGTGCAAGAATTCTTCTGGCATTGCAAGCTCCAATCAGTAGTAGTATATTTTTACATTTTTATCTTATCTCATCTCCTTTTTTTTTTTTTACAGCTGCATCAGTGTTTGAGCTTTGTATTTTTAATCTAGGATGGTAGTATCTGATCAGTGAAGAGGCTTCTTTTTTTCCTCAAATGACAATCCTTGACTTAGCAGCAGCCAGGTTTTGGCTTACAGATTTCAGGCTCCTGCTCCTAACCTGATCACCAGGTCTCAAGGTGCGATACAAAGCAATGCCTGTGCTGCTGCACACCCCAGTCACTGGGACTGAGCAGGGAGGTGCAGGGGCTTCTTGTAGGCAAGGGGCTAGAAAATGGAAAGATGGGGCTTGCCAAGCTCCAGAGAAAGCCCTGAACTGAGAGTGTGCAGGCAGAGCCATTTTCCTTGGAGCTGTGCTTCCCAACAGCCCTCTAGTAAGGGTCCAAGTACAATCATTCAAATTTGCAACTTTCAAGGCCACCCAAAACAGGGACATGGCTTAAAATCTACTCTGCTGTCATCTCAGTCCTCTTTTCCCACTTAGGGCAGTCCATTGTTGGGTTGTTGTTTTTTTTTTTTTCCAACCAGGAATGCTTCCTGTTAACCAAAGCCAAGAAGCAGCTGTTTCCCTCTGGTGCTCGACATTCTGTCTGTCCATCACAAACATTAGCAGCAGGGAAGAAGGGGACAGCTTTGCAGCATTTTGTCCTTTTCTATGTGTTTATCACCTCAAAGCCACAGTCCTTTTCAGCTCAGCCTCTGGGTCAGGTGCCTGATTAAGAGCCACTGCTTTTCTGCTGCTGGGAAAGTGTGCCACGTTGCCATGTAGGTGAAGCAGATGTAGGGGGGTTGAGAAACCCACATGACTTCTGTGACTCTGCCAGAGATTTCTAAAATGATAAATGTACAATTAGTTTACCTCCAGATGCCTCAACTCCTAGTGCTAGTGTGGAGACCACAGTGCTGTGTTGTAATGAAAGGATTTGGAGCAGTGACTGCCTGCTCCTCTGGGTCAACACAAGCAAGATCTCACACAACAATCTACTGCTGGAACAGCTCTGAGCCCACTGTTAACCTATTAACACTTTCTCAGCAGGTGCAGCTTCTACAAACCCCCAGTATTTTTTCAAAGTGCTGGATCACAACCCAAAAACCTGTAATGTAGCAGTTTCACTCATGCAAAAACACGCTGAGCATGTGCAGGATGGAAAAAACCTGAGGATTGGCTTTTTCCTCACCACGGTAAGCACAGTCAGATATCATGTGGGCACTGTTGTTCTCTGGGTGGTTTATTTCTCCTGTATGTGGGAATGCAAGACTGAATTGCCTTTTGGCCTGTTAAAAAGTCAAGATGTGGTGTGAATTTCTGGGTGCCTTCTATTGTAGAAACTCAGAGTAAAAATAGAGTTAAGCAGACTTTCTTTTATTCATGTCTTAAGGAAAAGGTGGCACTTTTAGTTCTGTAGCATCCCAGAACAGCCCTGGGAGACTGAGGGAGCCCCTGGGTTAGGAGATGTGCCAGGGCAGTGTCCTCTGTGCCAGCAGTGCTGGTGACATGCCGTGCTGGCTGGGCACAAGGCATGGCAGCCAGCACCAGCCACAGCCCTCGAGCAGCACTCCAGGTAGAGCAGGGAAGCAGATTGTCTCTTTTTCCCCAAAGTGGGCCTGTCTCACTCATCCTCCTGTTTTCTATCTGAAAAGCTGTGTAGAAACCTTTACAAAACACGAGAGCCTTTGCTCGAGACCAGTGTAGGGGAAATCCCCTCAGACACCTGGGACCTCCACTACAATTTCTCTGGGTTTTTTTTCTTGGTGACTGTCCAGAGAGGTGCCTTTTCAAGCTGCTCTCAGAGCACTACCAGGCTTACTGAAATCACAGTGTGGATGGATGCTAGCCTTTCCCAAAGTATTTTTGTTGTTGGCTGATGATTGTGGGAGGTTATTGTTGCAAACCCAAAGGCTAAAAAGGAAGCAGAGGTTGCTATAACCCTAATTTCTCCTCATTCTCCTCATTACTGGAGAGGTTTGCCCTCATCCCAGACTTTAAATAATTGATGCCATAAGTTTAACAGCTCCTCATAAAGGAAGAGCATGGCTTTGTAGCTCATAAAAAGAAGTGTGTCTGAGAAATAAAAGATGTCATTAAAAAGGCATCCCTCCAGCAAGTAGAGCTCACAATCCCTGTGGGAGGATATCCTCTGTCCTGTGCAGGTACCAAGCCTGCAGCACTCCATAAGGCCAGCTGTGCCACTCAGAGCTGCTGCTCCTGGTGAAAGGGGAATTGTTCCTTCCAGCATCCCCAAAAGTCACCAGACATGGAAGTCTCTGTGTGCTCTTGCACAATGCACAGCCACCTTGATCAGTTACCCATTTGAACAAGTGTGGCCTTCACTGGGAGGTGATGACATAGGTCTTGGTTCCCTCCAAAAAGGGATTATTTAATCAGGAAGCAGACTAGGAGACGGATTTTCTCTATTCTTGCTTTATATTTGAAATTTTTCTTCCCCTCCAGTTGATGCTCATGTGTGTTTTCCCTCTCTTGGTATGAGATGGATCAAGGATGGATGAACCTCAGTGAGTTTGTGAAGTCTAGATGGCATGGCCTCTGTGGGCTGCCAGCTCCAGGCTCCCTTTGGGCTCAGGTCACTTGGGTTTCTGGCCTTATAAATGACCTCCTACACAGGAGCTGGAGGGCAGGGCCAGAACAGAGCATTGCTGGAGGCTCCAGGATTGCTGTGGAGCGCCTGGGCAGCAGGGAGAGCAAGGGAGCAGTGAGGCTGCTCTGTCACACCAGAGCCTCTATCAATACAATGACATTGGTGCACATCCATACAGAGGATTATACAGAAAACATTCCCTCATGGACACACACAAAGTATTTAATGTGAGAGCTGCCCTGCCAGCTCCTCACAGCCAGCCTGGTGTCCTGTCCTGGGAGCAGCAAAAGCCAAGCAGCAAAAGCCAAACCAGACTGGGTGTGAGTGCCATTCCCTCAGTTTATTTCCCAGTGTTCAGCCTCAGTGCCTGACAGCAGTGAGAACACCTTTGGGTAAAAGTTTACAAGGGGTTAATTTGCACAGGGAGGGTGCAGTTGGCAAGATTCCTGTGGCTTCACTCTTCCTCCCAGGTCTGCTTCCTCTGCTATGATTCATGAGCAGCACCATCCGCTGTTCAGTACCTTTTGAGATGCATCAAATTGTTGCTGTGAAGTAAAAGGAGCATTATCCCTTGGCAGGATGAGGGGAGAATGCAGTGCAGGCAGGGATGCAAAGCAGAATGGACGTATCTGATAGCTCTAGGAAGCTTTTGATTAAATATAGACGTGGAACACTAATACATGGCTGTGAGGGAAGTTTAATGTTGTGTGATAGAGCTGAGAAATGTATAGAGGCTGATTCTTATCTCACACCAGTTTTGATTCCATTGAGATATTAATCTGCTTCTGCTTTTTACCAGAAGGAATGTGAAATAAGGCTCAGAAGTGGGGGGAAAAAAGTATTACACCATTTATTTCTTTGCAGCACTGCCCATTTCTATCTGCTCAAGATCTGACCCATAATACTTGGCAGTCTGTGTACCTCCCAGCCCTCTGTAACACTAGTCATCCTCTTTTTTTTTTCCCCCTTCCAAAATAGCAGTTTTATGTTATTGTCTCCCAAAGGCATGGCTCATAAATAACTCTGCCACGCTGTATAACCATTCTAAATGGAATTTATACACGCTGATATATTTTGGGGAATATGTTAAGGAAGGGTTTTTTATTATGCTATCTTTACATGTCATCATAGTAAATAGCTGTTGCATTATATTTGTTTCATCTCAGCAAAAAAATACTGGAATAACAGATGAAAGATCAGAATATTGAATTTTCTTGTGACACTTGCTAGTTTGGATTAGGATTCTTGAAGCATTGTCATCTGGGTGACATGTTAGAGGGCTCTCTGACCTCTTTGAGTCACAGAAGATCTCAGGGAAATTTTTAGTAATAGCATTCATCCTTGATTCCTCTGTGAACTCTGCTTAATGTTAATTGAAGTTCTCTTCAAATCCCCTTAAGTTCATTTTGGCTTCTGTTTCTTTCCGTTTCTCCACTTTTGACCAGCTTTGATATGTCCTTGAGAAAAGCCTGTCCCCTGGCTGGGCTCTTCAGGCCACAGGTGGAGGCGTGACAGATGCAGAGTGTGTTCAGAGAGGTGTGGGGATGGCAGGCTGCTGAGACTGTGCTGTCTCATTTACTCTGGCTCCTAACAGGAAGAATTCAACCAGCTGTATTTTTCTTTCAGGAGAACTCCAGAGTTCTGAAGCAAACCTTTCTCCAGAGTCGAGATGTGACCAGCTACTTCATCCTGAGCCCAGGAACTTATGCTGTTGTTCCTGCTGCAGCAGAGGACCAGGAATTTGAATTTCTCTTACGAATTTTCATAAAGAATCAAGACTACCATGAGTAAGATGATACACACTCCTGAAAGGCCCCAGACTCACAGTGTGCCAGGAATTAACTATTTGCTGTCAAGATAACTGATGGGGAAATTTGCTTTTGGTGTATCCTTGGAGGGTGGGGAAGGCACAGAGGAGTGTGAAGCAAATGTGGAGTGGGATCAGGTGCACAAGGATGGCCACTGCAGAGCAGGGCAGGAGCTCACCTGCAGCCACCCTGCAAAGGGTCTCAGCTTTGCTACAAATGAGAGCAATAATTGTGATATATGTCCTCTACCCCAGATTGTGGGGACATTTCTCTTTGCTGAGAGGAGGATTGGGAGCTTGTTTTCCCTAATTCTTAGCAGCTGTTCGGTAGTTTCTTATGTTCTGCTGGCTGGGTGCCAGATGGATCAGATCCCATTCTGCTCAGAGTGGGACCTGGAGAAGCCAAGAGCAGTGAAAGGCCTTGATCCTTCCACTCAGCCACCTCACAGACAGGCAGAGCTCCCTGTGGGCATGAGAGCAGCCTTGAAGATAAGTTTAGTGGGAAAATGGTGTCTGAGTTCATGCAAAGGCAGCTATTACCACACACACACTCTCACATTGCCAGTGAATGTGGTGTTGTATTATATTTGGGTGTGGTTTACTCCAGGTAAGCAAGCTTTGAGTCCCAGCCTCACCAAATGACCTGCAAGCATCACTGTGCAGTGCCTTCCCCTCAGCAAGATTTAGAGTGATTGCAGCTCTTACCTCACTGCCCCAGATCTTAATAATGAGATTGCTTTCCAGGCTTTGGCCCCTGGCAAAAACAGCCCAGAACCAACTGAGGCAGCTCCTGAGTTATGGAAGCAAACACAAGGAGTCTGTGCTGGAGTGCCTTCAGCAGAGTGAGTCATGTGTGAGGCAGCTCAGCCCTGGAAGTGAACTTTTCAGGAGAGCCTCTGACCCTCACAGACCTTTCTGAGCTCGGCCAAGTGTGGAGATGACCTTCCAGAGGGTCTTTGCAGCACTTACCCAAACAGATGTTATAAAAATAGAACCTGGCTTGTCTAATTCCTCTACTGAAAGCAAAACTCAAGTACTGAATGTGGCTGCTAAGTGTGTCTTAGCAATGGTGACCCTGGCCCAGTTTCAGGCAGTCTGCAGACGTTTGGATGTTGCCTTTTAATAGCCCAGATGCTGTTTTTATTCCTGGCTGTTAAGGTGAGCAAAGAGAAAGGAGGTGAAAAATTTCTGTGGCTCAAGGCAGGGCTCTGTGTTCTGTGTGGTGAGGTCAGTCCTGGCATGTTCAGGGTGAGACAAGCTACTTTTCTTTGCTGCTGGTGCCAACAGAGCTGACTTGGGGAAGGCAGTGGCCCCAGAGCAGCTGGAGACCCAGACCTGTCTGCACAGAGAGACCCAGGACTGGAGCAGCAGCCTGGTCTGAGCTGTGCCAGGCTGGGCCACGGGTGCTGAGCATCCTGTGGGGCTGTGGGCTGGCTGAGTGCTGCTGCTGGTGCCTGCCTTCCTCCACAGCTGCAAATCAGTGCTCTGGAAAGGGCTCTTTTCTCCCAGTTTGATAATTGTAAATCTTTTCTAGGAACTCAAGCTCCCTGACCAGCCCAGGGCTGCCGATGGTAAGAGTCTGAAAACTGGTGTAGGCTCTGGTGGTGATCATTTGGTCACCTCTACTGGCTCCTCTTCTTCTGCTCTTTTCTGCCTTTACCACCCACTACTGTCCCAGAGTTTGACTCTGGCACCCTGCAACCTTGCTGGGAGGGCAGGACACCTTTCTGGAGAGATGGGAGTGACAACAAAGCCTTTCCTCTTCTCATATGTCTATTTCAGAGCCTGATTTTTGAGGAAACAGGTCTTATGCAGTCCCTTTGTCAGCCTGTCCATCTGTCCTTTTCACCTCACCATCTTTAACACTTTGACAAACCAAATATAGCAGGAGAGAGAATGCTTAAAAGATTCTAATTTCTTTCAATGTCTGTAAAATGGGTATATATCTTTGGGGCAGAGACAGGGAAACTTAATTCCTATGAGTGGGACTGGACATGCCTTCCCCATGGGAATGATTCAATTTAAGTGCTTGTACCCTATAAAGCACAGGAGTCCATGGGGATGAGACTCAAATCAGATTTCTGCTGCTTTTCATCAGGATATCTTCAGAGACAGAGACATAAAGCAAGCCACACTTTGAAACTGGCTGCATCTCTAGTTCAAACCTCATTTTGTGCTCTCCAGCCCAGCTACCGTGGGTTTTCTGAGTTCTTGCTGTGAGCTGTGCACATTGCCAGGGCTGGTCCAGCCCCTGCTGCTCCCACCAGCAAAGCCCTGCCACTGAGAAGCTGCTATTTACAACCTTCAAAGACACAGATCTTTGAAGCCAGAGGCATGAAGGAGAACAGAAAACTGAGTCCTTTCTTGTGATTCATTTTCCAGCACACAATTAAGCCCCATTAGAGGGGTAGTGTAAATGGTGACTTTTTATCTCTTTCCACTGACAAGCTGTCGGTTTAGCTGGCTGTTGTCCTTAGCCAGTGTTTTGACTTTGATGAATTGTGGTACCCACAGTTTCTGCTCCTGTTCAGGTATTTGGGCTTCTTTGGTATGAAGCATCTCACACAGAGATGAAGGCGTTGTGTCTTGGGCTTAGATTTTTTTCTGAAGACTTTATAATGTTAAGGATCATTCTCCTTAGTGCCTGGTGGATCTTTTCACTGGAAGGTTGGAAAAAAAACACTTAACCATTGAATTAAAATTGCTCAGGTATAGTCCAAGCTTGTCTTGGGATTGTGAAGATGCAAGAGAAAGGAAAAGCCAGCTTGTGCTCTGTTTTCTTGGTTCACATGAATCTCCCCATGCCCTGAGCAGTGGTCCCAGCCAAGTCCACCAATAGGGATCAGCCTTGTATCTCCATACTCACGTATAGACTCACTGAATTCCACCCTGGATGCGTTCTGTCATCTTCCTTAAGCCCTGAACTGCTCCTTCCTGCTTCTGCTAGCTGCTAACACCCAAAATATGCTTCTTCCTTCATTGCAGTAGCAGTTGCTCACTCCTAGTCCACTTTATTTTGAGGGTGTGAAAACTGCAGCCTGTGCTGTACATTCCCTGCCCCTCTAAAGTGCTGTTTGGATCCGCAGACTTTTGCCTCCAGTTGTTTTGTAGCTGAATTATTTATGTCTGTTCTTTGTTTTCGATGCAGGATGTACCAAAGCAGAACCAGGGCAGCTCCTATAAGGCTCTTTTCCTAAAATACGCTAAGCAGGTACCCTCTCTAAAACATATTGTTGGAAAAAAAAATTAAAAAACCACATGTGGACTTGCAGAAAAACTGATCTATTATGTTGATACAAATCCATTTAGTTTTTTTTTCTTTGTTTTTGGAAATGTAGCTCCATCCTCAAGTGGATACCCTGAAAATGGTATTGATTGACCTGCCAAAACCCCCAGAAAAATGGGACATTCAGCTGGGATAGATTGTCTAGTGCCATATATCAGTGGAATATTGGAGATTTATAGTTGAACTGGTGATGGGCTTGCATGTGTATTTTTTTTTTTTTTTTTTGGTTTGTTTATTTGCTGAAAGCAATTAGAAAGCCTTGGGTAGTCCCCCCCCTCTCATCAGCATCATTTTCCATTTGCCTTCTCAGCACTTGGAAACCAGACATCAGTCAGCGTTTGAGTAATTGATTCCTGCTCTTTCAGAGCCAAGCTCTGTGTTCACAGGAGATGCTTTTAATGGTTTAATAAACTGTTATAAAGAACTCCTTGACTTAGTCAAGAGGAAAAAAATCGCTGTCAAAAGCCTCTGCACAATGAACCTCTCGCAGTTAATGGTTACATCAATGCGTGAAGGTGAAAAGGAGCAGGGCTGCCACACCAGGTGCCCTGGGGGTGTCGGGGATGGCTGATGGGCAGCGCTGCCTGTGCTCCCAGCCCACACTGACACAGTGTGCTGCCCATGCACAGCTCCCCATCCCTGCAGAACAAACCCCGTGGTGGTGGCAGTGCAGCTGTAGGGAAGGACCTGGAGTGGCCCAGCAGCGTGGAGCGCCTTGTCATGCTGCAGAGGGGATGCTGCTGCTCCTTTGATATATATAAACAGGGGCTCTTGGTTGCCACAGTGCCTGAGAAAAAAAGTTTTGGGTAAAAGTGGCACAGGAGAAAACTTTATGCTCACAGACGTCTCTTTGTGTTTTATTTTGCATCAGGGCTCAACTATTGATGCCTCGCAGCTGCAACAACTCCTCAATGAAGTGATCTCACAAGGTAAAGCAGCCCAACTAATGCTTTTGGTGCTTCCCTAGCCTTAGGGATTAGAGTTAATTAGACATAGGATTTAATGGTGTCCTGATGGTCCTTAAACAATCCTCATTGTGGCTTACTGCACTGTGGGATGAGAGCCTGAGAGGGGCACAGCTGGGCGGCTGGAGCCAGCTCAGCCATGCACAAGGCTCAAAGTGCTCTTAGGAGTTGCTAAATCAGCATAAGTGGCCTTTCTTGTCACTGTCATTTCCCTTGTGTCAAGAGGGAAGTGTTTCTGTCCGTGGGAGGGACTGTGCAGAGTGAGCCCAAGCAGGGCACCTGTCCTTGGGGAAGGCAGAGGTGTCTGAGATGTGCAGATTCCCTCAGCTTGGCACAGAGCCCTTTGAGAACCTGAGCCAGAGCTGGGCCTTTTCAGCTGTGTGAGCTTCAGCCTGGTGTCCTCCTTCCCTCAGATGATGTCCTGACGCCTGTCACAGCCCTTGCTCTTGCTAATTCCTTCTGTTTTGTCAATCCTTGCAGATGAAATGACCAGCCTGGGAGGGACGTTCAGCTTTGATTCATGCAGAGGCATTTTAGCTCTGATGGATGTATCCTTTCAGCAGAAGCAATAAACTTCCCTGGTGCTGCCCATCCTTGCCTTGAGTTATGGCTGAGCTGAGCATCCTAGTGTGAGAACCTGCAAGTAAATATTAGCCCAAATCCCAAATAAATAACTGTCCCATAGTCCATGCAGGACTTTGCTGTGCCTGCCCTGGCCCTGGTGTGTCTGCTGCCAGGTGAGGACCAACCTTCCGCTACCAGCTGACTTTTTGCTCTCATTTTGCCCTCTCTGGGGCTTGGCTAAGCTTCACCCTTGGGTGGGGGTCTCAGGCAGAGCTGAGGTAAGGAGGCAGGACAGAGTTTAGGCACAGCTCAGCTGTTCTGTGGTGGTTGCACCACGCCAGCCTGGGGTGGCACTTTAGCAGGCTGCCAGCAATCTGGTGTCAGGGGCAGGAACACTGTCACTGCTGAATCCCAGGCACTGGCCATTCCAGAGTCTATTTCCAGTGTGTCTTTCCTATTTAGCTGAATGACTCAGTCTTTTTACAGTTAACAAGACAACACAAGAAATACATTTCTGGCCATTGTAGAACAAGAGGGCTCCTTGATGGAAACATACATCTCCCTCGTGTGTTTCTTCCCCTTTGCTTGCTCATTGTCTCTTTTCCTCCATGCCTTGAAAAAGCTTTGAGACATTTTCAGACCTTTAAAAACTGCCACAGAATGAATAAAAATGACCAAAAGTCACTCTCTCTTTCCAGCTTTCAGCATCTAGCCAGTGAAAGAGACTTTTCCTCCTCTGCAAAGCCTGTCCTGGGATAAGTGGGCACTGTGAATGCATGGCACGTGCAAAGAGCTGAGAAAGCCTGTGCTCTGCTATAATTCAGGATGGGTTTTTAATTCTCTGGCCTGCAGATAACCCATGCACAGTGTGACCTATCCTGGCCTGCAAAGCCAGGATCAGCCTTTTCCACTCAGGTTCCACGGCAGCAGCATTTGTCTGCTTGTATTTCACTGGTGATGGGTTTTGCTTTCGGGGAGGTTTCACCATCCTGCTTTGGGGTGGGTGCTGTGTGCCTGCCCAGGACTCCTGGGTGCAGTATGGAGGGGAGCAGGTTTGGGATCATCTCCTCGTGCCCTTGGCTCCTCAGTGCCTGTTCTCCTGGAGGATCCAGGCAGAGCAGATCCTGTGCAGAGGCAAGGCCATGGGGCCGTGGTCATTCACAGGGGTGTCCGTGCTCAGGGGCTAAATATCACCACAGGGGCGCCTTATCAATAGAAACCTTTTGTGGTTTGTGAGCACAGGCATGAGCAGTGTGACAAAGGTGGATTTAAACAGGACCGAGAGCAGGAAAACTCTTGCTTTTCTCAGCACAAAGTCACCCACAGAAGAGGCTGCCTCTTATGTGGACAGGTCTGTGCAGGCAGCATCCTCGGCAACAAAGACAGCCAGGTTCAGCTCTCATTAAGTGCTCGATTCTTAACTAAATGCACAGCTCAACTCGAACGGAAGACTCACCCTGCAGGAGTTCGGGAGCCTCTGGCGAAGCCTCACTAAGTACATGGTACGGGGGAGGGGGTGGCTCTCTCTGGCTGCGGATGCTGTGGATGCTTTGGGTTCTGTGGATGCTGTGGATGCTTTGGGTTCTGTGGATGCTGTGGATGCTGTACCCCGGGGCTTTCCAGCAGCACGGAGCAGCTGCTCTGAGCTCTCAGCCTCGCAGAGGTTGCTTGCTTAGCGGCTCAGAGTTCCCTCCTCTCACGCAAGGGAGGCAGTGGAGTGTGCAAAGTGCTCCAAATGAGCAGCCCAGGCTTCTCCAGCACAGAGAGCACTGAGGGAAAAGGTAGGAAGGCCAATTAGGCTCAGAATCAGATGGAAATCTCCATGTCTGTGCCACCACTGGCAATTTTTTTTTTTTTTTTAAGAAAAGCTTTCTAAGCTGAAATGACTTCTTGAACAGAGTCATCTGAAAAATGTCATTTCCTCATTTCTGCAGTTTCTAGTGGAAATGTATAGGATCTGATAAAGGCTTGTCTGGGAGAAATGTTTCTGCTCCAGGATAAGCACTGGAAGCAGTGACATGGTATTTAGGGTCCCACCTAAATTCTTCAGGGCATACATGGCAGCTTCTCTGTGTCAGGTCCTTCTCCCTCAGCCTTGGTGCAGGACAGCAGGGTTTCCTGAAAATTCAGGTTTTCAGGTTTCCTCAAAACTCACCCTTGAATTGGGTGGGCTCCAATTTGTTTCATTCCTCTTGAGATGCTCTGAGCCCACCTAGTTCCCCACCTAGATAGGGGTGCTCTTCCCACTGACAGCACCACAAATGTGGTGTGGTGTGTTTTAGGAAAGCAAAAAGGCTTCTGCCCACCCCAGACTGTGGGATTTCTTACACAGTAACATTCTGTCAGAGCCTTCTGAAAATGGGTCTCCCTTGTCACAGCCACTCCATCTCACCTGTTGAACTTCTTTGCAGCATATTTATTAAGGGAGGAGAACTGGTTGTAGTAGTAAATGTGGGGAATGGTGATAAGAGCTTGAAATCTGCCTTTAAACTGTATTTCAGGATATCTTCTTCAAGGAAGACAGGAACCGTTCTGGATTTCTGGATATTGCTGAACTGGAGAACGCCATACAGGCAGCAGGTATGCCCAGAGGGGCTGAGCAGCTCCCTTTGTTCTCCCTGTGAGGGAAAGGATGAAAAAGAAGGAGGAAAGAGAAAAAAAAAGACTTTTAGGGAGAAAGTTGTTTGGATTTCCCAGAGATGCCAGTTAGATCACAGCTCTGCTGAGAGATCTGTGCTGGAACCAGCAGAAAGGTGCAGAGACTGGCCAGACCTGCTTCTAGGTCATGGATGGAACATCCAGTGGGGAGGAAAGGAGAAAGGAAGAGTGGAGTCTTGCACTTGCCTCTCTCAGTTCCTGCAGTTTCTCTCCAGGGCAGTGACTAAGTCTAGAAGGGAAAGCCACTCCGACAGGCATTTATTTAGTTTGCACTGACCTCTGTTGGCTGCTGAGTGCTGAAACTCTCAGCGAGTGCACACGAGTGGAGCATTTCAGCTGAGTTTTCTCAAAGGAGACTTTGTGCATGAAGTACATCTCTGACACAGCCATGCCCTTTTAATTGTGCACTAGAGAAGCTCCCGTTTGGCTGCCTGGAGCTCAGAGGGGTGCTGTCCCAGGAGGAAACTGGTGCAGGACTGCTATCCCTGGAAGCCATCAGCTGAGGGGATGCATATATAATTTTTTGCTGCTGAGAGCTGGGCAAAGCATCAGCACCTGTCTGAGAAGTGCAGCACTGATGTGCCAGATGTCAAAGGAGAAGCTGCCAGGGCCATTCTGTGAGAAAGATGCCAAAGTGTAAAACTGGGAGGAAAATTGTGCATGGAACAGTCCTGTCAGCCAAAACAATGCAGCTGTTTGGAGGGATAAAAAGGCACTGTTAAGTGGCAAATTCAATACATGCTTGACTACAAGTTGTTCTGAGTAGGGAAGAAAATTACAAGCTCATTCTTGCTGCCCTCTGAGCCAGACATCTGCATTTGAATCTGGCTTGGCAATGGGATGATCCCTGTCCTGCCTTTTGAGCAGGAACCCCAGCAGGCGTTTGAGAGCTTGATGCTACCTCTGGGAATGGTATTAATGTATTTAAATCCAGCTCCTAGTCAGCTGTTCCCTGAAGTGTTCAGTGCTTTTCCAACAAAACACTACAGTGTGTCCTTAATTTTCACTGTTTTCCTAATGCTTCCAATAATAATAATGGATCAGAGTAAAGCAGGCCAGCTGCATTAACAGCAGTGCTGCCCTGAAATGCAGCAGTGTTGGCCTGATGCATTTACAAACTCCTCTTTGGCAACAGCAAATGATTCAAAATAATTTTTATAAATAGGGAAACATCAAGTCAGTAATTAACATCTTGGCCAAAACCAGAGGGAGAAATCCAGCAGACAAAAGGCTTGGGAAGTATTCTTACAAATCGGCTGAAAATTCTTGGGAACAGAGAGGACTGACCTTTCAGTTTTGTGGATGAGGTTAATTGAGAGATGTTGCCAAAGTGAGCAGATTTCAGAGCAAGTGTATCCTAGACTGACCAAGCCAAAATTCTTGGTGTTTTACTAGGGTAAGACTTGATTATAGCATCCCATAAGTAATATTTACTGGAATCTGCTCTCTGGAGGGAGCTTGATTGAATTCCTACTGTCTTCAAAAGGTTAAAAATATAATTAATTGCTCACTGCTACAGTGCTTTAAAACCAGACTCAAAGAAGACAATTAATTAGATTAATTTTTAATTTCTGTCTTTATCTCATTTGAAAAGAATATAAAATCATGTTTGCCTTAATTTGAAATGTATCTTAAGCCCAAATGTATTTCCATTCTTTAATTATTCAGCATAATGTACCTGCTTCCTGCTGGAGACCTCCAACTAGGCTCATGCAACCAGAGTTTGTCAATGGTGGTACAAAACCACTTCCATCAGCTCTCTCTCTCCCTACACAGGTGTAGAGAAGCCATTTCTTTTATTTCTGCTTTTTCAACTAATTTAGCTCCATGATGAGTTCATTTGAAACGGAAAAGTTTAGAGCTGGTTGAAAAAGCAGGAAAGTTACTTCACATCCAGCTGAGCTACTAAAACCTGGAGTGAGCAAATGAGACTTTTCTGAAGTCTCAGGGAAGGCATTAAACCAAAGCTATCAGTCCAGCTCTCTGCAGAAAATTTCCCTTTTGTTTTGCAAATCAGCTTTTAGTGCAAAATATATTTAAATCATTCCTCTAATATAGCCAGCACATTTAGGGTAGTTTTATTTAACTAATAAAAGAATCATTCTAAAAAGCAATTTTTGTTCATTCAATTGAATACCGATTTCCATCCAAACAGACTGCGACACAAATACTGAATAACCAACTAATAAAAAAGAAATGCACCCTTCACCATTTTCTAATAGAAGAGAAAATGTAAAAATTAAGAATCCCAGGCATGCTATGCAGCATAACAGCCTGAGCATGCAGCAATGCAGCATCTGCCTCTTTAGCAGAAAGAGCCGGTGGTATCGGAAACGCTATGCTCAGACTTTTACAGTTATGAGCCAAAGAAAATCACCCTTTCTTATAGAAAATAAAAGCTAGAAAGGCAAAGCAAGATAACACTAGATGAGTTAGCTCAGTGTTTGCAGCTTGTTAACTTAAGCCGCAGTGGGAGTCAGTGAGTGAGGCGACTTTGATTTTCCATTACCCTGCCCCAACTCTTGGGCACAAAGTGAGGAAAAGGCTGTCCAGGGGAGGACAGAGAGGGGGGATAAGGGTGTCCCCAGCTTGCTGGCAGGCTGCAGGAGGCCAGCAGAGCTGCTCCATGCCCTCCCAGCGTGCCTTCCCTCGGCAGGTCTGGCCAGCGACGCGCAGCTGCTGCGCCTGATGACGCTGCGCTACGGCGACGGCGCCGGCAGGGTTGGCTTCTGCGACTTCGTGTGCTGCATGCTGCGCCTCGACACCATGAGCCGTGAGTGCCACCACTGCCAGGCCACGTGGCAGCCCCCAAAGCCAGGCTGAGAGCAGGGCCAAGGGAGGAGGGACACCACACAAGGCGTGATAACACCAGTCCAACGGCGTAGCTTGGAAGGGACGCGCCTGCCCCGGCCCAGGCTGCTCTTTGGGCAGGCTGTTTGCCAGGAGCTGGATTCATCTCCTGTGCACTGGCATAGAAAACTAGGTGACCCCAACTCTGGGGATGACTGGCATCTGACTCCATTGATTCAGAATGCTGAACAATTGCTTTATTAAACTATACTATATTACATTACAACTACATTGAAGAGACACCGTACTATACTACAAAGAATATTAAAGAAAACTCGTGACTGTCTGAGACAGCCAGGACACAGTTTTGAGCCAATTGGCTAAGGAAACAAAACAATCCTCAGCAGAATCCAATTGACAAATCACTTCAGGTAAACAATCTTCCTAACACATTCCACATGTGCACAACAACAGGGGCAGCAAGTAGAGATAAGAATTGGTTTTCTCTTCTTCTCTCTGTGCTTCTCCAGGAAAAGAACCTGAGAGAGAATTATGTCTCTCTCTGTTCAGAGAATGTGAATGCCACACACTGGAGCAACTGGCTGCTAGAGAGTAGTTCAGTGTTCAGTGAAGTTCTGAGTTTTTTGGTTAGGAGAAAGTCCAGTATCCTCTGTGGATAAACAAACCCATTCCCTCTGTCGCATCCAGCTATTGCCTGGCACTTGCAAGGAGGGAGCCTTTGTAAATGAGCTTTTGCCTGGATGGAAATGAAATTCTGTTTTATAAAATCGTAATTTTTGCTACTCTAATAATAAGCATTTCGACTGGAGGTATTGGTAGTTAAACAAAGTCAGCAACTGTGACCCCTGTGCTAGAACATTGCTACAGCAATTTATTTCATCTCTGGAATGAGCTGGGTTTCAACAGTGCATGGAAACGAGCGTTCATTTTCTCCCATGTGTTTTTAGCACTGATGTTTAATGGGCCAACAGTGGTCAGCAGATCTGCTTGGATGACACTGCTGAAAATCCCATTTCAAGGGAGTACAGCAGAAGCAGCTCTGAAAGCATTGTAAAATCAGAGCGTGTCCTGATTTTAATGCTTTCATTAAAAAAAAAAAAGCTTGCAAACACCCATTTTTTGTGATTATACATGTCACTTGCTGCAGATGAAAGTTTTTATGCCTAAATTACTGCCACAGTATTTTTTTGTTTAAAAAATATCCTTTTACATTTTAAGAGCCAATGTAAAGACAAATCCTTTGCATCCATGTGGAAAGGAGTATCTAAAAGTTTCATTGCTGTCTGTAATGAGAATCTTAAAATGCTCTCCACTCCTTCAGTTATCACTTTACAGAGGGTTTAATGTGAAATACATCTCTCAAACTTTTTAGATGATTGTGAATAAGTTTGCTACAGGAGAGGATAAGGGTGCCAAGTGGGAATAAAAGGCAGTCAACCTTTATGATGATGTGAATGCAGCGGGGAAGATAAAATCTGTCCCATTAAATCATTATTCATCCTTTCAAGATAGCCAGAGATGAGACCCAAACCAAAAGCAGCCTCTTCTTTGCAAATTCTATTTAACTGGAGTTAATGAAGCAGTAAAGAGGCACTTACCTCTGCCCAGAGGAGGTAATTTCAGCGCTGCCACTTTTTCCTAAAAAGACTGCTGGGTGCAAGCCCAGCCCTGCAAATACAGCCTTGGGCACAACACGAGGATTTCCTTGTTCTGTGCCTTTTTTCAGAGCAGTGTAGGCTGGATGTGGCACTTTTCCTCCCTGCTTTAGGCCCTACAGGTAGCTCTGCTGGCCTCCTAAGGGGCAGATGAGCAATGAGCCCTTGTGCCCTCTTCCTACCCTCTCCCAGCAGCCTTTTTGCTAAGGCTGGGCACGTTTCAAAACACCTGTAATCTTACAAAGTCTTTTCCATGCAGAGTGGGAAACTCCAGGCTCCCAGAGAAATGTGTCATTCAAGGATAGACAGACTTAAATTTGTTTCAACTTTTTATTACTGTTATAAGAGCACATTTCTAGGAGAAAAGTAATTTCAGAATAAATAAAAACCCTCAAAATACTGTGTTTTGAGTTTATCCAAATACTTGGGTTTGAAGACTTCTCCTAGACATACTGCAATATAAATATGCACATAGAATAACAATATTTGAATGGATTTAAATTTCCTGATGGCAAAGTGTTCTGCCAAAAAAAAAAAAACAAACTTTCAGCAATGTTAATTTCAAACTCTAGCTGAATAACAGCAGCATCTGCATTTATATTCCCTGCAAAAAGCTTGCAAGGCATACTAATGACTTCGAGAGAATCACTTTCTTTAGGGCACACTGTGATCACTCACTGCCAGGGAGGATGGAAAAGGACCAACAGAAAGTTTCCCTGTGGGAAGATGTGTTTCATTAGTTCACTGTCCTCCTGTCACTCTCCAGGCAGGAAAACAATTGAAACAAATTACGAGAGGAGATGAAGGCAGCCACATTGAGCGCTGCCTGTCCCTACACTTCTGCCAAATTCTGGCCCCAAAATTGGGATGCCTTCCCAGGCTGTGATCCGAGGGCCAAGGCAGAAGGGGTACCCAGCACAGAAATGAGAGGAGGCCAGGCAGGACACCTGAGCCAGGCACAGCATCCCAGCACAGGGACTGCAGCTCTGCTCCTCAGCTGCCACAGCCTTATGTCTGCAGTGCCTTCTTGCTTTTTCTCCATGAAATAAGGTTTTTTTGTTCTGCCCCTAGATGCATTCCAAAACTTAGCAGAGGGCGGATCACAAATTTTGATGACAGCAATGGAGGTAAGGATGCTCCTTCCTTCTATTCTCTCCAGTTCCAAAGTGGGAGCACACATTAGCAGAAGGGTGAAGTTGAAGATGATGTGTGATATGGACACAGCTCAGAGGGGCCCATCCCTGGCCAAGGCATGGGGTCTTCCCTTACTGACACCAGCCTGTCATTGCTGGAAACATTGCTCAAAGTGACTTTGAGGAAGTGGCAAACAAAAAACAAACAAAAAAAAAAATCCATGCCCTCATTTCTTACTGCCCCATCTGTTAATCCTGAATTGCAAAACATCTTGGCTTTAAGAAAGAAACAGCAGACAAATGCTTGCTGCTGCTGTTTGTCTTAAAAGCACAGCCTGAAGGATAGCTCACTGAATGGGGATACATCAGGCTTTTTATCAGCTAGTCTGAAGCAAAAATCCTGCTGTGCTCCATAGTGATATGCCTGAGTACTGCATTTTATCAGTCTGGGGACGGTTATTTGACAACCCAGTGTTTAAAAAGATTTTTTAAAAGAGCCTTTTACAATCTCACCAGCTCCTGTTTACACTCCATGGTTAGTGCAGAGCCTCATTGTTCATTAAATCTGTTTTGCACCAAGGGCAGAGCACAGCTTGCAAGCAGGGGACCTGGACCTATTTTATAGGGTAGTCTGTAGGACAGCCAGGTTCCCAGAAGTTGCTATCTCTTCCACTTGCAATCAGGCAGGTGCCACACTTCCCCAGCAATTGCTCCTGCAGCAGCTGCTGCAATAATTTATCATGGAAAACAACATATGGAAAGAGTTTCTGGGTCTGAATTGTAATAAGGGAAAGAGGCAGCTCCAAAATCCCTTAACTATCCCTTGCAGTACAAAAGGACTACAGTCACTGGGTCACCCCTGAAGGTTCTGAGACAAGTCTGAACACTTGGTGTACCATCACTGTCTAAATGCAACTTTTCTCCTTTTTTTCCCAGTGGCTGACCCTTGTCATGTACACCTAGAGAGATGCCAGAGGTCATGGTAAGAAATCTCCTCAGTGCTCAAAAGAGAGGGTGGGGCCCTTGCAGGAAGCTCAGCCTGGAGTTGTGGGGGGTTTTGAGAGAAGCTGTGAGAGGAGGAGGGAAAGAGGTGAGACCTGCAGCATGAAGGCTGTAAAGGGAATTGGACTTTAGGCTATTTTTTTTCTGGGGAATTGCTGATGACCTTCCCAGTCAATCCAACCACCAATGGCTCAGCTAGAAACTTGCCCCCACCTAAGATAATACATGAGAGAGCGTAATTTATATTTTTGAGTTTTGAGGGGTGCAATTACCTCTGCATATTTTACACAGCAGCAAATGTGTAGTCAAATAGAGGGTGGGTATACGAAGTAACTTAGATTTCTTAGTCAGTCTGATTTCACATTTTTAACAGAATTACGTGGTTTGGTTTACATTTGAACCACAGTCCCTACCTTGTGCTTCTTTTGATGTTTGGACTTTTTTCCTCTGGACTCCACAGTTTTGCTGTTTGGTTCTCATGAAAGACTCTGCCTTTTCCTGCAAAACTTGTGCTGTTTATACATCCAAAAGCCATCTCAGCCACAGTGCTTCTGCTAACCCTCTGTGATGCACCTGCTCCAGCTGCAGTGATGAAGTGTTAGTGCTGCTCCCAAACATTTGTCACTGAGGAGAAAGCAGGGAGGAAACCCTTAGTAAAAAGTGCAGTGGAGGGGCAGTTGACCCCAGGAATTTGTGGAGCATCCTTGGGCAAATCAAACACTTTCCTTATCAGTCTGGTCCAAAAATGGAGTAAAAACCTCAAACCCATGACACTCTTTGAAATCCATTAACTGCATCCAGCTAGCCCATCCTATGGACAGGAGTTACAATAATAAATAACACAGGAACAGCATCTCTGGTGTCTCCCACCCTGTTTCTGAAGGCAGTTTGCATTGGATGCCAGCTTTGCTGAGAAGTTGGAAGGGGAAATATGTAACTGGGGTGTAAATTACACTCCCCAGGGAGAAAGCATGGAAGGTTCAGAGCCAAGGCAGGGATGGCTCCATGTCTGTCACCTTGACTCCAGGACAAGGTCTGTGCCCTGCTGCTCCTGGTCACATCCATTGTGTCCAGAGCTGGCCTTCAGCACTGTGGTGCCTTCACCCCGCTGAGCTCTGCCTGCAAACAGCTGTTTGTTTGAAAGCCTGCCCTTTGCATTCAGAGCTGGGGACAGTGCAAACCTGCATTTTGATGTCTTGGTGTGTGGAAACAGAATATTCACAACACTGCACCCAGCACTTGCACTGCAGACCATCATTAGGTAAATATGAGAAGGACCTCGCCTTTGGAGATGAAGTTGCTTAAATTATTACTTGCAAATTATTTTCATAGTCTATTAAGTCTTTTTTTTTTTTCATGAATCATTCATAAACTGATCATAACTTCTGGGAATATATAATTAATCATAATTTTCACTTACTGGTTTGGAATGAAATCCTGCCTGCAGGGTGTTTGTAAGCAGCTCACTTGAGCAATTCAGCAGACACTTGCAGCTGGAGCCTGGGCAGTCATGGCACAGGACCCTCAGAGGATCAGAACTGGTAAAACTGGAGCCTAACAAACTGTGACTGATGTGGGAAAACACATTTGGCATTAGCTTAAAAAACTCTCTTGGCAAAAATATTCCCATTAGTGATTCCTAAAGGCTGACCTGGAGCTGGCTGTGGTCTGAGTGAGTCTCTTTACCTCTGTTTCAGGTGACTTTTCTTCCTCCTCACAGAGCAGTGTCAAGGCCATCCCATAAAAAACCATCTTGAAAAACCACTGGAGGTGGTGAAGGAGTGAAGCCAGGTGTCCTCATGCTTGGTGGCACTCCAAGCTGCTGGGATGAAGAGTCCTTTCCAGGCAAAATGGAGGTGCCTTGGAGAGGGAAGGATTGCTAATGAAAGTACTCCATGGGCAAGGTGGTAGTACTTAATGGTCTGGGCAAGCTGGAAATGTTGACTGTAATCTCCTCTCATCTTCCTGTAAATAGTACAGAAGTTAGGACCAGCTCCATTAACTCCACTATGAAAAAGAACCGACCTGTGCATTTCATGTGAAAGGAGTGTATAAGATGTAGGTTACAAAAACAATTAGGACACAGTTTTACTTTAATTATTTCTTAATTTTCTTCTGTGCCATTTATAAGTGCCAGAAAATCATTGAAGAAATTAGTCCTAATTCATAAATAACAGCAGAATCTTTTTGGTTTTCTTTATACTTTTTATTAATAAATGAAAAAAAAAGGCATTTTTGAGTTCATCAACTATAGGGATTCCATTTTATTTGCTACAGAAATTGGGTAGCATATTAGAGACATAGAACAAATTGTTCAGTGCTTTCTTTCTGACTTCCAGAATCTATATCGGGACTGTTTGGGAGTAGAAAAGATTATCTGAACTGCATTCTCTTCCTCTGTCCTGATGTCTTTAAAAATGTAGGGCTTCTTCAGACATAATTCCTGCTCAAAAATTTAACTTAAACCTGCAAAACAACTGTAATGGTCTGTACCCACACATGAACTTCACTTCCATACTTTTTTATCATGGCATTAATAGCAAATTTAGTGATCTATTCCACTCAGATATTGGAAAAAAAAATATTAAGACTCTATTTGTGAAAATGCCAAAAAAAAGAAGGATGCAAATGTCAACGGATGAAAGAAATCCCAGGTTGCCATGGCAATATAATTCACACCATGCCTCACCCAGACCCTCTGCCCAGGTTTCCACTGAGGCATCCACGTGTTAGCAACAGATTTATCCATTTGCCAGGGAGATGTTGCACACTGGAGCAACAACTACATCACCAGGTAAAGATGCAACCCAGATCTCTGTTACCAGTCTGTGCTGTGTCACTGCCTCGCTCACCAGCTTGCAGAGCATCACTCAGGTAGGTACATCCTGGGCAAGAGGGGCCACTGAACCCACTCTTCCACTGAAAATTAGAAATCAGTAAAGTTAGACTATTTTAATTTTTTTTTCAGTAATTTTTGAACAAACTGATTCCTTCTCCCAAGCAGGACTTACACATCCCACCTGAAATCATTAATCACTAATTAAGCCCTCTGCAAATGTTGGCAAAGAGAGAAGATAAAAAGGGGGCCATGGAAAAATAAATATACTTTGCTAAAAAGGTTTATTAGTAGGATCACTTCAGAGAAAGGTTTATGTAGCTTAGCCTGGGATAATTAAAAAACTTCAAGTACTTCTGGACGACTTCCACCACACAGTTCAGTGGTGCTCAAGATGGCTCAGACCTGCTGGGAACAAGCTCTATGTAGCTACAGAGAAGTCATCTCTGTTCAAGTTGCAAAATTCAGTTCAAGTCACCTGGTTTAAATACTTAAATTCTTGTTGTGTGAACGTCTCATCTCTAAAAATACCAAGCCATTAAGATTAATCTCAAAATCTTAATTTGCAGCCCATGTATTACTTCTCCTTTTGTTGAGATGCGTAATTGCCTTTCTGTGGAAGGCAATTCTGCCTGTCAGGAGACAAAGATCCTTGTCTCATATCTCAGCCTGGCCACAAACTGAAATGTCTCCACTGAAAAGCACACAGCCACCAGGCACCCCCAGTGAGAAACATCACCTCTCCATGAGTTGTCTCCCTGCGAGCAGCTCCTGGGCTGATGCTCTGAGCAGTGTCCCCAGGCACAGAGGCCACCTCCAGCTCCATCCCAGCAGCCCTTCACCCAGCTGTGTGTGGCTCTGCACTCTCAGGGACCAACCCACGGCCCCTCTGGCTTTGCAGGCTGGTGCCTGCAGGCTGATCCTGCACTGGGGCAGAGTAATAACTCACTGCTGTCAAGCTGAGCATGGCTGCCTGTCTGTGGCATTGGAAGAATTGGTATTCCACTTGATTTATACTTCCAACCGAGCTAATTAAGCAACAATTCAGGAGGAATCCATCATTGTGACAGACTTGTTGATTAACCATCCCACAGACAAAGTCAAGGGTGTTTGGTAGCCTGAAGAAAAAAAAAAAGGGTCAATAAGGGAGAAAAGCAATGATTTGGCCATAATACAGTGGTGACTGTTATTTCCAAAAGCAACAAGAAGCTTAATACATTTCACAAATCCTGGGGCCAGCACTGAAAACAAAGGCAGCTCAGATCAGTGGGGTGTTAGATAAAGAGAGAAAACTTCTACATTTCATCTTTGTGTGATTAAGCTGTGAAGGCCAACTTTATGGGGATGGTGCCCCTATTAAAATCTTCAGGCCCCTTCATCTGTGTTTGCCAGCTCTGAAATGTGAGTGCAGTCCCCATGAGGTTTCTGGCACTTGTGAAGGCTCTGAGATTCATCCAATTATGATAATATCCTCTCTAATTTTTTTGATTAAAATCAGTTCCTAGTCCTCAGGGACACAAGTCTGAAAACCCCTAAGAGAATCTGCTGTTAGAAACGAAAGAGGAGGACCTCAAACAAATGCTCTATTTTTAAACCTTCATGAGGCTAAAGCCCTCAAGAGGGTAAGAAGCAGGCTGAGGCAGATGAGATTAGTGATGCTCAACTCCCTAGCACAGGAGATGGGATATAGAGCTGATGAAATTAGGTAGGATCTAAGCCAAGCATCAGCTTCGGAAGGACGTTGGTGCAGAGTGCTGACAGCTGACCCAGCAAGAATAATCTCTGCATCTCTGGATCTTGGAGCCCTCCTGTTTACTGCCCTTCTCCTGAGACCCAAAGGCCCCATGTCTTACATCTGCCTGCCAAAGCCTGTGCCCACATCATGCCAAGAGGAGGAAGTTCTCACAAGTCTTACCTACTACAGGGTCGTTTCCTGAGCAAGCACTCTGGGTCAAGGCTTTCCCAGGCACCTTGGAGGCTGTGGTTTGATGGCCACACCTCAGTGAACACATCTTGCTGTTGTGGTATGGGAGACTGGGGGTGTCCGTGGCCAGGTTTGGAGCAACTGAACCTCCCTCTCAACCTTTGGCTGCTTCAATTCATAGAGGAAAAATTATAAACATTTCCAATGGAAAAAAAAAAAAAAAAAAAAGGCTCATTATTCCATAACCACATGCATGGTTGCAGAGGGGAAAGCTGGGTAGCTGGGTGAGACCCTGTCTCTGAGCAGCCCAGTGGCCTCGTGCACTTTATGGTGTGCACTAATGATTTTTAGTTTTGTTTCTCAAAGCAGTGAGCACAATGCCACAGCAAATGTCCTGACTGTGGGCTGCAGACTCACAGCCCTGATCAAGCAGGGCTGCAGCAGTGAGGGACTGGTATTCCAGTGGAGGAACACCCGCCTGGAGGGGTGCCTGGGAACACTCAGCTCTGGCTGCTGCCCTCAGTGGGATGGTGACCCTTGTAGGAATGTGCCCTCTGTTGATGGAGTGACAAAATTATCCTTTGTCTCTTTATAAAAGAAAAAAGCCCAGAAAAAGAAAAAAGGTCAATTAGGTAAAAAGACACTTCATAGGACCTTGGGGACTTCACCTCAAACTTAAAGACAGCCAATTTGACAGAAGCCAAAAAGTCCCACCTAAGCAATTTGCTAGAAAAAGAAGAAAACAAAGGAACTAATCGTTTTTGTGAGGTGTTTTACCAGGAGCAAGAGCCTCTTGCGCCTGGCTCAGATTTTCTCTGTAAAGAGCTTTGTTATTTTGTCTTTTATTAAAACTTTTCTGTTTCCAACACTACCACAGAAGCCATCCCACTAATTTTATGCCATCTGAGGTAGCTGAGCTATCTTGGGTGTGACATAGATCTCCAAGAGCTTATAAAACCTAGCTGAAAGAGATCATTATATCAGACTCTTACTCAAAAGAGGTACTTGTCCTTCTCTGAGTAGGGAGCAGATGGAAGTTCTGTCAAGAGAGACCCCTCCCCATGTCCAGGTGGCTCAGCAGAGGCACAGACAAATATTGGGATTATTTCTCATTGTGGGGGGGGGTGCCAGCTCTATCTGGCACTATGGAGCTCAGCCTTAGCACCCGTCCTTAGGATTTCTTTGCTGCAGGGCTGCAGCTGAAACATTTCCCTCTTACCTGGCAATTCCTCACATGAAATACCTTGAGCTGCAATTTCTGGCTGCACTCCTTGCAGCTGGTCCCACCCTGCAATAGCTGCACCTTTTCAGCCCTGGGGAAGGCAGTCCCAAAGCACAGCAGCCTCTTCACAGCAGGTTTCACCAATGCCCACCAAAGCCACCCTGTGTCCCTGCTGCCAGCTGTGCCACCAGAATGTCCCCCCCAGCCCGCCGTGGCTCTGGGGTCCCTTTCTGCTGTCTGGCAGTGACATCTAGAGGCTCCCTGGCCTCAGCTCCTGTCTCACTGCCAGCAGCTCTTGGCACACAGAAACCTGCTCCTCACAAAGCCCCCGGGAAGGCTGGAGCACTTCAAGGAAGGAGCTGCAAGGCTTAAATCCAAGCCCTTCCCGTGCCCCTCCCTCCCAAGCCACCGTGGGAAGGATCTTTGTTGTAGCACCAAGAAAATCTGATATTGTTTCTGGGATACCAAAGGTCCGGGAGAGCCAGCCTGTGTCCTTTCCCTGAGAGAAGAACTGGTCCACACAAGGCTGGTGCTGGTTAAATAATACATTCAGCTTTCCACTTGAGGAAATATTATTTCCTTGCTTTACACGCCATCCATTAGATTTGATGCCATCCAGCATCAAAGGCAAAGCTGCCACAGAAATACCTCTGTATCATGGCTGGCTGTGCAAGATGAAAGATTATTGTACAAACAGTATTATGCATTTTAAAGCAATGCATTCGAGGAAAGGGGAGGAAATATATCATCTCCATAGGCTGAATTATTCAGCCAGATGATGAATGCATCTCCTGAAGCATTCCCAGGAATTGAGCTGAAATACCTACCATGGAGAGAGAGAGGGGATACTATTGCCTATATGAAAGGTACTTGGTATTCAGTAGAATGTGTATTCTCTAGGGTGATATTCCACAGGAATTTTGAGTCAGCAGAGCAGATTGCAAACGATCTTCTAGCCTGAAATCAGGGAAAAGGCAGCTTAGTGGAGTAGAGCTTTCTCACAATAAAAAAAATCTGCAGGAATATTGCAGTGAAAAGTGGGAAGAATTGTTCTTGCCCATCCTGTGTCTTAGATCCACCCTCCTCTCCTCTTTACCCACTGTGTCTGCCTGATGCTGAGGAGCTGGGCTGTGATGATGATTTCCAGCTCCACAAAGGGAGAAATGCCAAGACAAGGTGGGAGCCCCAGGTGGGGTGAACCTTCTCCATCACCCTGGGATTTCATGGCCTAAAACACCTCCTTATCTCCAAGGGACACAAGTTGCATCTCCATCCATGGAGCAGGAAGGTGCTTTGCTTACCAGTGGTGTATGTGATTTGCAAGACCTAAATACAGTCATTAACTGGTAGAAATATTAATGTGTCAAGTTGTTTGGATTTTTGGGTTTGTTTTATTTTTCCAACCAGCATTCCATAAGACCTAAATACAGTCATTAACTGGTAGAAATATTAATGTGACAAGTTGTTTGGGTTTGGGTTTTTGGGTTTGTTTCATTTTTCAAACCAGCATTCCACGTGCTCTGGAACTCAGAGGTGATAGGAGATAAGAAATGAAACTGAGATTGCCAGGCTGTCTTGATTTTACTGGATTGAAGGAAGAACAATTAAAAGAAAATTGTTGCTGTGAGTGCCAGATTTTTCTTTTTCTGATTTTTTTTTTCGTCCTAGACACAGGCATAAAAGTTCCCCTTTTTCATTATTGTATCAGATGAAACCAAAGGATTTTTTTACCCACACTGGAAAAAAGTAAAGTTTCAAGCTTTTAGGGTGATCACTTAATGTGTCAAGTTGTTTGGATTTTTGGGTTTGTTTTATTTTTCCAACCAGCATTCCATGTGCTCTGGAACTCAGAGGTGATAGGAGATAAGAAATGAAACTGAGATTGCCAGGCTGTCTTGATTTTACTGGATTGAAGGAAGAATGGTGAAAAGAAAATTGTAGCTGTGAGTGCCAGATTTTTCTTTTTCTGATTTTTTTTTTCGTCCTAGACACAGGCATAAAAGTTCCCCCTTTTCATTATTATATCAGATGAAACCAAAGGATTTTTTTACCCACACTGGGAAAAAAATAAAGTTTCAAGCATTTAGGGTGATCAGTGAAGGCCAGCACAATGTTTAATCAAATTTAGAAGATGAATTGGACACCTTACCTGTAGCTCCTCTGTATCATTGGTTACCACAGAAGTCCCTTGGACAAAGCCTGCCACATCAGTCTGAAGATGTGAGGAAGCCAAAAGGAACAATGTGCTGTGGTGGACCTGGATGTTTTCTTCTGGGCCCTGGCTGCCAGGCAGAATTCTCCTTAAAGATAGCAGAAGAGAAGTCTGGACTTCTAAGTGGCCTTTTTTAACACTCAGCATTTCCAACTCCTCATCTGGGCGTTGGCTCTGGCCTGGGGAGGGGCTGGCATCATCCCTCCTTCCCAAAAGGAGGCATCAGAAACTCCCAGCACTTTCAAGGGGCAGGAGGACACCAGGTGGCCTGGCTGGAATGAAGAGGGAGGAGAGGGAGTGTGAAGCTGGGCATGGCTGGGCCTGGGTGCAGGAGAGCAAAGGCAGCACTTTCTGTGCCATTGCAGGTTTCACCAGCTCCTCCAGCAAGTCCCTGTGCCAGAGGTGACTGCAGAGATGCCCTGGGAAGGTTCCTGTGTTTCACTGCCCTGGAAAAATCATGGGGCCTGAGAAAGTCACACCAGGCAAACCAGGAGATCTTGGCACACTCCTGCCTGCAGGCCTGGGTCACCATATCCATGGGAAAATGTTTCCTGCTGCTCCTGGTGATGACAGGGAGAACCTTCTGGAGGGCTTACAAAGCCCATGTCCCTCCAGACAGCTTACCTGACAGCTCCGTGCTAACAGATGCTGGAAACCAGCCCCTCTGGCTCAGCTCTTGGAGCAGGTGATGGATCCAGCTCTCTACTTCATGTTCACTTCACGTGAACAAGTCCTAGGAAAGGCAGACATCTGCAATCACTCAGCTCTGCTGCTCAGATGTGAAGGCTTGGCTTCTCAGACAGCAGGCTGGGTTTAAAGACAAAATCAGAATATGGAATAGAAGAAGCCTTTTCCCATTAAAGCACATTTGTAAAAATAGTTTCTGGGCTTTTACCCTTGTGCAATTTCACTTTAAGGCCTCATTACTCTCCTTGTCCCTGAGGCTGGGAGAGGGTCATGCTGTGGGACAGCAGTCACATCCAAGAGGCAGCAGGCTGAGCAAACAGCTTTGCTTTGTCGAGCTGGAAGCACCAAACTGAGGAAGGCAAGGGCCAGGAGCTGCTTGCAAAGCTGCTGGAAGGTTCAGGAAGCTGTGGCATCATCACTGAGCCATCAGGGCTGTGCCTCAGGATATGGTTGTGCTTGAGGGTCCCAGGGCAAGGGAAGAGATGAGAATCTTGACTCCATGTTTCAGAAGGCTTATATTATATTATATTATATTATATTATATTATATTATATTATATTATATTATATTATATTGCTATACTAAAACTATACTAAAAAGAATAGTGAGAAAAGATCCTTCAGAAGGCTGGAAAGGAAAGGAGTGGAATGAATAACAAAATCCTGTGACTGCTCACAGCCTCGACACAGGTAGCTGTGTTTGTCATCAAGTGAAAGCAATCCACATGGACCACTCAAAGATGCACCTGTTGCATTCCACAGCAGATAGTTATTGTTTACATTTCTTTCCTGAGGCTCCTCAGCTTCTCAGGAGAAAATCCTGTCAAAAGGATTTTCATAAAATATCATGGTGACATCAGGATGTGCCCTCTGAGCTGCCAGGATGGTGGTGGATTGACACACATTCCCACTGACCCACATCAGAGGGATTCATGAGTCACACATCCAAAAAAATCATTTCTCTAATGAACAGATTGCTGAGATGGGAATTTTGCATGAGATATTAAGCAAGAGCCTTTGATATTTGAATGTAATGATGTACTTCTAACAGAGCATTAACAAAAAGTAACTGGCACTAGGTCTTTATGCAGACATTCATGGCTTTCAAGACATTTTATGGATGAATTGATTTTGTTCAATCAACCAAGGCATAGAAGAATTATTTCCTTCTCTAGCTCCAAAGTGAGTAAATAAAAAAGGGGACAGGATTTCCAAAACTCCCTTTTACTTTTGACTGAACAATGGAAGAACTTTTAGAGAGGCCTGAGACTCAAGTGTACCCAGTGGCAGAAAGTCAGAGGTAGAAATTTTTAGGTCAGGAACAGACTGTTTCTATTTTGATGAAATATGATTTAATGTGATTTAATGAAGATTTCATCAATCCAGGGATGTGGCATGCCATACTAATACAAGAGTTCAGATGGATGGAGCACAATGTTCTCCTCCAGCACAGGGATCTGAAGTGGTGAGGTCTGGATGGGGATGGTGACAGCTCCCAGAATTAAACTGGGATCCAGCTGGGCATGGCTCAGAGGGACACACCAGCAAAATAATTGGTTTAGTGACAGGGGATTGATCTTTAAGGTCCCTTCCAACCTAAACCATTCTATGATTTCATGAAAAAAGCATTGCAGGCAGGCAAAGTTTTGGCAAATTGATATTTCCTGGGCAAAGTATTTGAACAAACTTTTTTTCCCCCCCTTGAAATGGACAGATTGTGTAAGAACTTCTGGGAAAAAACACTGCTAAAAGTTGATAAGCAGACACTCCCCTGAGGCTAATCTCATCTTAATTTGTCAGGAGTGTGTGTTTTAACTACTTAATCATTCGATAAAAGACTTTATCTCCTTTACAGTTTATCCACTCCTCTTCAAGCCCTGTTTGAAGAGAAGTGAATTCCTCCGGGAATTTCAACCCCAGAAGCCTCACCTGAGGAGGTTATTGACAGAAGGGGTTGTTTGCCTACCAAACATCTCCTCCAAGCTGGAGATGCTGCCGCAGTTCCAGCCGGGAGCTGCAGATGTCAGGATTGAACTGCAGACTGCTCTCCCAACCAGCAAACGCCTGCTGGGACCAAGGTACAGGCAGGTGAGACTGGAAATGCCATGCTCAAAGCTTGCTCTGGAGGTGTAAAACCCCCCTTGAAGAAAGGTTATTTTCCTCCACAAAAGCAGACCCAATGCTGGTACCACAGGGGTTGCCCTGAAGGTGCTGCACCCACCTCCTTCCACACACAGAAGAGTAAAAAAATGTACAGAGAAAGTTAATCAAAGTCTTCTGAGCAGCTTCTGGTTGAGGAATCATTAAATATATACGGTTATCTTAGTCTGGAGAAGAGCTGCTTACAATGATGGTAGAGAGCAGGTGAATAAAAAAAGACCATTCATTGTCCTGTACTAGAAGAACCAGGAGCAGCAGATAAATCTCCTGCTGGTTTGTTCAGATAGGCCAGATGAGGTACTTCTTTCCATGGCCTGCAATGGTAGAGCTCATCTCTCTGAGGTGCTGGGGCTGCCAAACCTTTGCAGAGCTTTGAAAAGTGATTGAGCAGCTTCATAGAGAGGAATCAATCAGGGGGTACCACGCTCAAAGGCATCCCCTCCTGTTCATGAGGAAATTAGTTGGGTGTCCTTGCAGGATCCTCTGTAGCTGTCAGCCACCTACTCTGACACAGAGCCAGCACTGTTTGCAGAAGGGAGTAGTTTGCAGGGATGGAGTTGCCATCCTGCCACAAAAGCTGGGAGGAAATCTGAACCAGCAAAATGCCATTTTGGCTCAAGCCCAGACCAAATTCCTTATCCTTCCCCTTTCCCTGCAATTGACCAAACCACCCAGGGAAAACTGCTCAATGTCCTCCAAGAGCACACTTTGACATGGAAGTTTACAACTTCAGTGATGTATCAGAACATCCTAAAGGAGCAGCTACTCTTAGGGAACTGTATATTCAAGCTGGGTTCAGACCACAGCAATCCTCTCTACAATGAACTTTTGCATTTACAAAAGGACAAAAAAAGTGAGTACAAGCAATCCTGAGTGATAAACTCAATTAAACTACCAAGTGAGTACTATCCTCTGTCCTGGGAAAGGCCTGCTCCCACAGCAGAGGTCAGAAAATACAGAAGGTTTAATGTTGCTATCCAGAGATTCAAATCATCTCCCTATCTCCTCTCTTTTCCCACTCAAATTACTCTTGAGCTGACCTTCTACTTTTAAATATCTTTATTTCATCATGTTCTTATGCCCACTGTATTCTAATTCTAATTGCTTTAGCCTTCTTAATATTGGAAGAATGAAAAATCCTACATACAAGCCAAATAAGGCCCAAGCATTGTAGACCCCTTTGGGTTACCCCAGGCAGCAGGAAATGGAATCAGTACTGAGCTGTTCACTACTGAGCCTCTTTGGAAGGTGAATCCAAGCTGGAATAGAGCAGGCACCAGCACACCAATCAGCTGGGCAGCCCTGTCTCCTTCCTCAAGGATACGTGCCTGAACATAAGGAATCACTGTGGTAAGGTGAACAGGGAGCTCTAATGTGCAAAGTGAATCTCCTCCTCAAGCTTAATTCTAGGAGCAATCATTACAATTTTGAGCAGCCACTGAATCACGCCTTGAACAAGAATAGGAATTAACACCCTCACCATCATTCCACTCATCTCCAAATCTGCAAATCCCACCACCCACGAGCCACTGAAGCCATAATCAAATACTTCCCCAGTACAAGCAGCTGCCTCAGCATTCGTTGTCTTTTGAAGCAGAACCAGTGTGCCATTAACAAATGAAACCACGCGACGTCCTGCCCCTACTGACAACAGCAATTGCAATCTAACTAGTCCCAGTCCCTTCCCATTCCTGATCCACAGAAGAACTTAATCCCTAATCACTGCTATCAACAAAAATTAAATTCACTGCCACCCATTCTTGTCCTCAATCACTCTACTCAAAATTATTAACCACCATAATCCTTGACTCAGCAGCTCTAAGAGACTGAACTGGATTAAATCAAACACAGATTTGAAAAGTCTTAAGCATTCTCACTTGGGTTGAATAGCCTAATAATTATTATAGCAGTTATAGCCAAACCCCTCCTACTAACTTTCTACTTATCCTTCCTTATAACTTCCACAACAGTCCTCGCTCTCAACACAAACAAAGCTCAAAAACTACCAATGATAATGGCCTAAAGAACAAAAATATGAGTGAGAGCACAGGAGACAGAGACTACTCACCCCAAACTTCAGGTGGCAACAGAAAACTTCACTTTCCCAATCCCTCCCTTAATAGGGCATTTGAAAGATGCAGTCTGGTTGCTCTCATTGGTTTGAACCCCACTCCCCTTCAGGTCCTGGCCAGTGAGGTGGCTGCAGCATTGGGAGATATTTGGTTGGCCAACACCCTTGTCAATCACTGTAACATCCCCACACGCAGTAAAATCTCAATATTAGTCTTAGGCTTCCTAGCAGGACTTCCCCTGCTACCAGGATTCCTGTTTAAATGACTTATTATTGAAAAACTTACTAAGCACATAATGACCAAAACAGACACAGTCATTGTCATACTCTCACTATTAGGACTGCTCCTGTGCCTTCTCCTCATGTAATATTCACCAAACACACTGCCCCCCATCCAAAGAAAAGCCCTAACAATAATTCTAACCAAAATCCTGCCAAACAAAATCCACAAACCTACATTACCATATCCCTAAAAACTAACAAAAATAAGCCCTAACAATTGAAACTGCTACACAGTTAATTGAGTTAAGCTTAAACATAACTCTAGCATTAACCCTAAAGACTGTATCTCTAGCCCTAAAAATATTTCAACTAACCCCTCACCTTAAGTTTAAGCCCAACATATGTCCTAACCGTAAATGTAACCAAAATTACTGTAAATCTAATATTAACTCTACTACTTAATGCTATCCCTATAAACAATAACCCTAACCCTGAACTCAAAGCTAACTCTAACTTTATCCCTCATGACTGTAACCCTAACCTTAAACTCAAGCCTAACCATAATACAAACCCTTCACCTAAAACCCTAACA